AAGGAAATAAAAATCGAACAAATATGCAAAAATATGCAAAATTAAATTGGTGATTTGAATTCTTTGAGTGATGAAACAAATTTCTATCCTACTCTGCATTAATTTAAATGTTATAAAAAAATATGAGAAATGCATAAACATCCGCTCTTTAATAATAATATACTGCAACAATAACATATTTACAATTTACATCTTTAATCTACAATACGACTTAATAATTTAAATTTAACTAATTCAAAATATTACAGATGTTTTTCTGTCAATCAGTCAATACTATCGTCGCTAATCACAAGTCAAATTATTCAATTTTCTGGTTTTTTTTTTTAATAAAATACAAATATTATAAATTACTCAATAAAACAATAAATGCAAAAAATGTGTATATGTCATTTTTTTAAGCACATTTTCACGGTAAAATACGTTTTTTAAATACTTTTTTTAGCTTTTTTTTTTTTTTAAGAAAAAAAAACCAATTTTCTTTAGTGCATTTAAAAACCAGGCCCTAATTATTATACAGGTATTGCGTCGGTTACACAATTATACGAATCACGATGCGCTTTCAACGACTGTATATTTGACCGGAAACGCTATTGTATAATATATGGGTACATGTACACAATAAAAGTGTCTACACGAATAGCTGTGTACACTATATATACTATACGTATATCGCGCGCATCACCGGGTCACGTCCAATAAGGAACACGAGGTACATCCTATAAGTAAATAGTATTATATACACGACGTACACGCGGTATACACAGGATTTCCATAGAGAAATATTGAAAAATATCTTACCGGTTTTATAAATCTAATAACTTTGGAAATCGTCACGGGCTGACGCTGCAGAAACAGCAGCTATCCCCGTATATTATATTCAGTTACTCTCTCGTATATAGTCGTCGGTATAATGCCGTGTCCCCGGGGACCGGATGAACGCGAAACTTTCCGCGCGGACTTGATTGCATTCGGCGAAAACTTCTCCAAAACCGTAATACACTTTGCCATATATAACGTTAAACCGCGCGTCTAACTGGCGTATAATAGCAGCGCGCGCGTACACCTGGGGATTTATTTATATAATAAAATAATATCGTATAGATATATGCCTATACACCTATATATAATAATATATAATGGTAAGTCGCACGGGTATTGCAGTGTGTGCGCTTCAAAGACAATCTTTACGAGGATCTAATATCGCGTATAGGTATGCCTGTATACGTTATAGATAATAGCTATACATATATAGATATAAGCTTAAACCGAACGTGAAAGACTCGCGTATTTGAATTTATAATTATTGTCCCGTGTATACATTATAATATTATCATGTATTTCAAATTTGTTTTCATAATATTATGCGTCGAGAGAAAAAGAGAAAACTGCAGGAGTATTATTATATTGTACAATAATAAATAGCCCGATGTTCATAATTTACGTGAATTTATTTTCATTTTAGATACGAGTGTGTATACATTTTGTGCGTATAAAACAAAAATATAAATGATAAAAAAAAATGTAGGTTTTCAAAGCACAGACTTGAACCGGTGACTTTTTCGGGGGGGTTTTCAATTTTATACGCAACTTGTGCGAGGCCCTCTTCCAGAGAAGCCCTTTCTCGCATTCCCCCGTGGAATCATAAAATCACATTATAATAAATTATATAGTGTCCCATCCGACTAGACGTTTTATAAGAACCCAAAGCATTTAGTATAAAATATAATTTAGCTTAAATATTATGGTGGAGGGGAGGGTGTTTCAACACTCAAAATACTCCATCGATTAATTGCGTCTGATTAAACAAAACGTATTACCGTCGCACGTATTATTAATATACAAATCTGTAGTAAAAAATATATGTTATAATAATATAATTATCTCATTATTCAGTTCTTTTTCTTATATGAATAATTTTCGATAAAAAGTGTTTTATTTATTTAAGTTATTTCGTAGTGAGCTTTTTTTTTGTCACAATTCAACGATTTTTCCGGATGATTTTATACACATAACATACATTTTATGTCTGTATATTTTATTTCGATCGTTGTGGAATTGTTTAAGCCTTGTTATTTTGAAAATATTTTCAAATGTTCATCCTTACTTCTTAAACCTTACATGGTTGAGGAGACACTAAAAAAAGGTTTTTCGATTTTCTCATAAAATGTGAAAAACCGGGAAAAAACATCGGACAACCGGGATAAACGTAGGAAAATCGGTACAATATTAAACAAATATTATTAAAAAAAAAAATATAATGCCTAAAATATCGAATACTATCGAATAATTACAATAAAGATACGGATAAAATCCGTGTGCAATTTTCCGCACCACCTTTGCTATCGACAAACGCCAATGGAATATTATTCCGTGACGTTTTTCGAAAAGCGCATGAGGTTTTGCACGAGGCGCGTTTTTTTTATAGTGGTGTCCCCAAGTAGGCCTAATCCACTGAGTCGTCTAACCTAACCTTACCTGAAATTCATAATATAATACGATCACCGAATCCCGATCTTCGTTCCTTGAAGTCATCCACAGCTACCAGCAGTCTTGGCTCGGAGAGTTCGCGTGCAAATAAACCGAGAAAAAACCATAAAGGAAAAACAAGATTTACGAAAATATTACTATTATTACTAAAAACACTATTATACCGATGAAGAAAACTTAATAAACTATTGAAAAAGTTTAAAGGAATGATAATAAAACAATTTAGAAAAATAAAAATTTAAAAACAACTGTGAATAAAACAAATTTAAGAAACATAATTTACTACGATTCGATTAAATACGCGTACAATAAATAAAATTAATATTATTGTTGACATTATTAGCCAGCGCGTGGTTTTGCGATATTCATTATCGTTCAAATAAATAAATATTATTAATCAGTAAGCATACCTACAATTTTTGTTACTTTTGGTTCTGATAGTGCAACCGAAACGTGTTTACAGCGAGGTAAGGTAAATACCTCAAATAATATCCGTATACAATTGTATGATTTTACGATTGATAGATTTTCATAAAAATTTGAGCTTCAACCGTATATAAAAAGACGGACATACTTAGAATGTGAGTGCAACCACTGTTGTAGGTGGAAAGTTAGGGAGGTAAGATACAGACAAGAATTTAATGTATATCTGTAAGCAACGATAAACCATTGCTGACAAAGAAACAATTCTGAGCGAAGTTCAGTTGAAAGTGATGCTTTGTCAACAATGACCTATGTCATATTATGGTAAAATAATTAAATAGGCATTATATATTTTCTTTAATTATAATTTTTTAATGTACCGATTTTCTCGTTTTTCCTACGTTTTTGCAGTTATTCTGTTTTTTTTTTTTTTTTTTGGTTTTTCACATTTTTTTAAAAATACTCTTCAGAAAACCAAAAAAATAACCTCTTCAAAGTATCTCTCCACACCGATTTCCTTTCAGAAAAGTTGCTTCACTTAAAAATTGAAGCAAGATCTCTGGTAGAAAAGTTGTCTACTGAAAAAAAAAAAAAGAAAAAAAAACATCTTTGTAAAACCATAAGCTTCTTCGCTTCATTCAGAATCTAAAAATAATGTTCTTTGTTTTACGTATGACCTTTTTTTTTATTTGACATTTGTAGCAGAAACACAAATTGTTTATAATGATTAGTTATATCAAATATTAGGTACGTATCATCGACAATATCGTTGCAGTCAGATAGATAATAAATTCTGCAGTCAGTTACATTTCCGGTGAGTTCTTCTGCGCGTGAGGGAAGCTTCTTGTCAATAGGTCGTCTAAAAAACTGGCTAAGGGCAAGTATGGAGCAACAGCGTTTTGCAGATTTATCAATGTTAAATATTGAAAGAGATGTTGTCTATAAAATCACTTTTTCAGAAATACTGAAAAAGTATTCCGGTATAGTAATAGAAAAATAATAAGAACGAGAATTAAAAATGGTTATAGTAATTATAAAATTGAAATATGGTATTTGGAGGTGGTGGGGGCATAGCTCGTGTCCTTTACATAATTTTTAGCACCCCGAGTGTTTGAGCTCTAGTTGCGCCTATAGATATTATACACTGTAACCAGGGCTTGAAACTGGTATTAAAAATCTAAACCGTATCGTTCGTAAATACCGGTAATATTATTGGATACAATGTCGAATATGTAACAATATATTTTTCCCGTTCACAGTAAGTCTGGACATAATTATGTTTTAGAAATGATTAGAAAATTCGACACAGATTCAATTGTGATTTTGACAAAAATTATAGGCAACAGTTGTGTAACCCCCCTTTCCCCCTCCTCCACTCCATCAATCGGATAGATATTAATAAATAATAATTTTGCGGGTGTGGAAATTAGCAGTGTACGAACAGTGTACAATATACAATAATATATTATTGTACACAGAATACGAATGGGAAAAATCAAAACCGGACATAACGTAATATCGTGTGATCGGATCGTAAACGATTAAACGATTGTTGTAATACGCGCGGTGAAAAAGACCGAAAAAGACCGAAAACAATTTTATTCGAGATTGAAAAAAAAAAAATGTCACCCTTTACGCGAATTGTACGGCGTAGTAACGCGCGCTCGGGTCGACTCGTACGCGACAATATCGTGCGCGTGCACATGTACCGTGTAGTCTGCGCGTAGTGCCTGATAATACCGTACAAAGGACTGCGGCTGCTGTACACGTTACATAATATTATAATACGACCGCGTGTCGGACGGGATAATATACGAATAATGCGCGACGGCGATGAAGATGTTGTGCGCGCAGCATCGCCGGGGTTTTATTATTATTATTATTTATTATTATTTTTTTTTTCGCTCGGCGAAATCGGCTTAACCCCTCTTTGTGGAGAGCGCGCGCGCGCCGCCGCGAAAAATTAATCATCGACGTGGTTTTTGCGGCGGCGGCGACGGCCCGTCCGCATCTATACGCGACGTGTATATAAAAGGCTTTATACTCTTATATATTATATAATAATAATAATAATAATAATAATAATAATACAAAAGCTTCTTTTTGCCCGGGAAACCTTTCGGGCCGCCGGCGGCGCGGGCACCGTATTTCGCCGTATAGGATTTTGGCTTTTGCCCCGTGCGGTACCGCCGTGGCCGCGATATCATACAAGCAACGTGTGCGTGCGCGTAATAATATTATTGTGTTGTACGGGAAGAACGGAGGCGGGCAGAGCGTTAAGCTCCCGGTTTATCCGCTCGCGGTTTAATTAATTAAAAAAAACCCCGTACATACGTACGTATACAACGCACAAACTCCTCGAGGGAAACGGGCCGGAATGGGGTAGGTACGATATTTTGTAAAATAATAACGCGAGCGCAATATTATTTATATTATTTTTACGATGGCGATGAATGTTAATAACGGATAATAATATTATCATAACGTGCGTACGCCACGCTATACGGAAGCCCCGTATTGCCTGCCGAGAACGGGATATTTATCATTACGGTTTGCTCGCGCGCGCGCGCGCGATTTATAATAATAATAGTACCCAACTGCACGTCGGACGTATTGTTGTGGCGTATGTTATGCGCGCGTAATACTATGTACGTATCACGAGAACATTATCGTCATCGGTGTTATTTTTCGTCGGTTCCCCGGCGTCGTTACCATAATAACAACACAGCTACTATACAATAATTTGACGGCGTACGTATTATACGTACCGCGGGCTGCATGTTATCATAAAGATCGGTCTGTAACGTTACTGACGAGCCTGTAACGTTTTAATGGCGTGTGAAAAAAAAAAAAAAAAACAATTAATCGCAGTTGCACAAAAGATTTGTATTTTATTGATAACCGCGGTCACCGGATGCCTGCCGCATTTTATTTGATCACAATGATTTTACTGATTACATTATCGAGTGTCAATAATTAAACAACAAATAAATATTCGAACCACGATATTTATATTATAATATGTGTTTGATCTTTGACGATGGCGCCAAAAGGGTAAGGCAGTAAAACTTTACTGAACGAGACAAGAAACGAAATAATTCCGCATAAGGACACAATTGAAATTATTAAGGTATTTGTTTGATAGGTTAACTTAATTATAAATTACAATACGCTAGGCAAGGAAAAAATGCATTTAGACTGATTTCGTTAATGTCAAAAAAAAAACCAGTCTTGGGAGGCAATAACCAAGCTGTACAATATTAATGATCCAGAAACTGAAAATAGAATAGTTTTAGAAAGGAATTATAATAATTTTTATAACAATGTATTAAAAAATCTGTACAAGTTACAGACACAAAATGTACAAGTACAGGTCCAGTACTATAGCCAAAAAATTACAGACCCGTTAACGCTAACGAGCGTTCAAGCAACACTCAATTTTTTTTAACGGGCCAATAGTGTGTTAAAGGCTCTGTAAATCGCTAATGTACGTTTATGCGACCCAGCATTAGAGGTATAGTCGAAGAAAATAGAAATGAGTATCCGGGCAGGAAAGACATAGGTAACAAAAGCATATCCCCATACCTTATCGGTTTTTCAAGAGGGACGGGTACAGATTTATAAACAAACTATAGATAGCTGACTATGATATGAATGAAGCTGGATGCCGTTTACTAAGATGGCAAACAGTGTTATCACCAGATAATTGATACAGTATGACTTTTAAACGGAAATTTTTTCGAAATTCAAATATTTGTATTCTAAATGTAAATTGTCTACACCTTCTGTTTTATAAAATCAGTTATTTACATACATTAAAGAACATTATACTACTACTACTTCCTGTCGTATTTAATTTTTACAATAAACGTCTCCAATATACATTTACATAAAATACCAGTTCACACAGCAGTGAATAACTCATCGTTGCATTAAATATTCCAGGATTTCAGCAAAAACCGACTAGAAAAAAATTAAATTTGCTTTCAGTACCATTTTTTTTTTTTTTTTAATTGTTGTAGTTAACAATATAATAGCTACCAATTTATCATATTCTTATCACATCATTTGTTTGAATTCTTGGAATATGGCAAAGGATACCGTGTAATGAATAAAGAACGAGTAGACACTCTAGAGTCACATACATGTGACGAGATGATCCTAAAAGCTAGTTTTGTAACCCGGAGAAGAAAAAGATAGATTGTTGTAACTTACCACACATAACGGAAATCGAGTGGATACTAACAATATACGTATATATGGAGGGTACAAGGAAAAAAACAAAAAAGTCACTTTTTTTTCAATTTGAGAAAAACATGTTTTAAATTTCAAAGCAAAACAATTTTTTTTTACAAAGTAAAAAGTTCGAATTAAATTAAATTTTAAACTTTGAAATGTAGTAATCACAACACAATAATGCCATATTATATATTTTATTATATCGATCACGAACATATAACCGTGTAATAATCCAACACTTGTCTGGTTGACTTATTTATATTTTTTTCCCTATAGACCTAAACTTCTGGTGCTCATTAATTTCGACTAAAGCGATTTTTCGCCGGTTCGATCGCACAAAAAATACAGTACATCAATACAAATTGTTTGATACCGATATCGCCATTTTTGAAAAAAGTGACTTTTCCGGTTTTTTCCCCTGTACTCTTCGCAATATAATAAGTGCAAATAGACGTGTAGACCAGGTAACTGCTGCAGGTAACTCGTCGTATTAACGTAACTAACTGATCTATGAAAATAGTAACGTTTTAATTTTGCGCAACTTCTTTTGTGGTTATTTGAAACTAATTTACTATCCGGACTCCGGCATTTGTTCTGTTCGTATTTCTGGCATGTCGCAAACTTAGGTTTCCGCGTTTTAAGCGGTCCAAAATATTTCGGCCTGTTGAAATTTGTACTTCTGTTAGTATCGTCTACGTACACAGTTTCTTACGCATTTCGTTCGTTAAATACGTTCTATCCCGCGGCGTGACCGCGCGTGTACACAACAATAATATTATTATAATACGATATTGTAGCAGCGCGGCAGTCGTTTTCAAACGCGGTTTTTCTCCTATTCTCTCGATATTGTTCGGCCGCGTGAATCGTCCGTCAAAACATTCTTTTCGCGCGTGTTTTCGCCCGTTTAACGCGCGGCGGAGTGCAGGAGGAAACGTCGCGTCGCGTACGCGAATAATGCCGAGTTTCCGACGGGCGACCGCGCATTATTATGACGAATAAAATGTAAAAATTGCAGCGCGCCCGGTAACAGTACGCTGCGGCGGCTATAACATAATAATAATAATAATAATAACAATAATAATAATAATATATAGTATAGCGGGTAGTCTGAAATAACGAGGGGTATTGCCGTGTTATATTATAATCGTGCGGTTATTGTTGTTGTTACATGCGCGTATTATGCGCGTTGTCGGCGGAAAAATAGCCGCGGGAACAACAATCGTGAAAATAGAAATCGTTTGCAGGGGGCGACAAAAAGGCGAGCGTGTGTGGGTATAGGTGTAGTTATGTGTTATACGCAGGTAACCAGAGACCCACTTAAACTTAATAACGTTGTTACGTTGGGAACCGTTTGAAAAATCATTATTTTCCCCTCCCCCCTCCCCCCCCACGAGCGCTCACTTCTTTCTTACAACGTAATAATAATCGACGCGATCGACGCCGACGGTATTGTACTATATTGTTCGTCGATATAATATTATTTATTGTGCGCGGAGAGAAATAAGCCTCCCCGAATTTTGCCCGGGCCGAATCGCAGGACAATGCGAGCGCATCGCGCAATACGCGTCTCCCCGTTACGTATGTACGCGCGCGCGCGCGCGCGCGCGTGTGTGTGTGTGTGTGTATCGGATTCTGTCGCTTTTTAATGCGTTATTACAATAATAGGTGTGCGCGAGGCGCACGACCTATACGACATAATAATAAGTGTATTATCGTTATTATTATTGTATTAAACCGAGACCCGGAGGCGGGGAACGAGAGCTTGTAACACTGCGAAACGGGATGTGTCGAACCGCATCGCCGCCGCAACCGTCCGTCGGTTCGTGTTACATCACTACGAAATCTGCGCAATCAGCGGCGGTGGCGCGGTGCCGCTCGGTACGTACCCGTGTGCGTACCGTACCGCGTTCGTATACGGCGTCTAACCGCGACGGTGGCTGTGTACGTTTTTATTTATCGTTGTTGTTGCGTTTTTTTTTTTTTTTTTTGTACTGCAATGTGACGACGACCGCGACGTGTCCCCGGCCGCCGCCCCCGCCGCCGCCGCCGCCTCGGTGTACGCAACGATAATCGCGCGCTCGAAAACGATAAAAATCGTCGGCCGTCGGTTCCCTCTCGTTCTCCTTTTCGTTATTATTTTTACCGGCGCGAAATTTCGCATTCCTCCGACCCGCGGCGGCGGCGGCGAGGTCGTATTTCGATCCGCCGGCCAAAAGCGATCGACCGATAAACGGCTATTATTAATATGCTTAATAATTGTGTCGGGTGACTACTGCGGGGGGAAACGCCAAACTGCGCCTACGCGGTTTTTTTTTTCTTTCTGCTCGTCGTTAAAGAAAGGACCTTGTGTGAATGTTTGACTGCCGCGCGAAGAGGGGTCGAAACAGGATTCAACGGCCGCCATTCACGGCGATCGGACAGCGGTTTTACCCTTATAAATACATCAATCGAGCTGCAGTAAATCGGCACGACTTTGCGGATCCGAAAACTGGTGAAACGGCGACACACAATATTGTGACAAGGACGAAAACGGACGAGCCGCTCCACGCACGCCTAGAAAGGCATTCGCGCGCGGGATAAATAGTGCCGGCGGTCATATCGTCTCCTTTATGGAAAAAAAAAAAATAAACAAATATTTGACGAATTCCACGCGGATTTAGATACAACATTTTTTTTTTTTTTTAAAGGTATGTAATGTGCGTTTATTTCCAATAGTTCAATACAATGTAATATCGTTTCGACGCGGTAAACCACTGCGACCGCTGTCCTCGACCCGGTCAGCTGGCACACGCGCAGCGAAAAACATTATGTTCGCCAAAACTCATTTCATTACACAATCAGGCGTTCGTTGAATAATAATATAATTTAATTCGTATTTATATTGAACACCACACCCGTAATAATAATAATAATAATAACACGTATGCAATATTATTAGTAATAATTCGACAACTAATTATTACCGTGACGAATATGACGGGTGTTGAATCGATCGTACGGCTATAATTTATTGTGTGTGTGTGTGTGTGTATGCGTGCGCGCACGTGTAAGCCGTTGCGAAAACGAATAATACAATAATAATATTATTATTATTATTTACGGTTTTTGCGACTCCGTGGGCTATAATATCGCTACGCAAATAATGTATATTTTTTTTTTTTTAAAAAAAAACAATTCACCCGAATCATATAATAACGTAACACTTGTTATTATTAAGGTTCGACCCAGTAACGCGCATTTAATCCCGTTTATGGATACCGACTTCTGAGCAGTCAGCTGTAACGTTAAACGCGCAGCGCAGATGACTGTATATACTGGATCGCTAACACATTTCGCTATAATGATAACGGTGTTCCCATATAATTGTTTTCGAGAGTATACGAGAGTACACTATCCTGAGTCTACGTGAGGTATTAGGAGATATGCCGAGAGCGTCTTGTTTTTAATTTTTACCTTTTCCACAGCGCGAGTGCGTCCGCTGTAGTGCATCGATGCAACCTTAGATATTTAGCTTACTTAGCCAATGTATACCTATTTAAAAGCTGATAAACTTAATATAATCGATTAACATTTTCCACTTTTCAATTGTAATTGGCGAAGTAAATATACGATTTGTATTACTATGCACACTGAACGGGCAATGATAACAATACTATATCATAACAAATTGTAAAATATAGATTGTCATTTATAAAAGCATTGTCGTTACAATGATTTTCATTTATGTAAAGCGATATCGATTTGCGACCACTTACAATAAATTCTACTTATACTATATAAGTTTTAAATGACGGATAAAATGGTTATTTTTTTTGTATAATCTGAACCACCATTTTCCAAAAATAAATAGTCGACATTTGCAAATCACATTCGATAACTATGCAGGTCAAGAGTTTTATGAAACCATAAAAGTTATCATTCGCAAAATCTTCGTGTAACAAAACAAATCGGAAATAATACGCTGTCATATACACTGCAAGGATGTGAGAATCGAAAAGCGAGTGTCTGGCTTTCGGGTAGGTATGTAGGAAAGGTTTCCGGTAAGTATATTATATAATACACGGTTCAAAAGATAATAAAAGCTTTTAAAAAATTATATTAATGTAAAACGATTCGCATAGCGTCTCCCGGGTAAAACTAATTTACGCAGGTATTTAATTTTTAGAAAATGTTCTTTAATAGAATTTTCTTGTTACGGTAATCGAGTATATGGAACCAATGAAATTGTATTATTAATTTACATCAGTGTACGAGTATACGACTATATATGTATATTGTATATTAGTTTTTAAATGAAAGTCTATATGCGCGTTATTGAAACAAATGTACTGCATCATCATCACTGATGCACAGCGTCAGTAATTAATAAAGTAGAGTCGACATTTTTAGTTTCTGAGCGAAGCGAGAAATGTAGTAGTTTTGCAATGATGTTCATTTATTTATTTTTTTTTTTTATCTATGGAATATTTTTCTACCAGAAATTTTGCTCTGATCTTCAAGTGTAGCACTTTTTCTGAAAAGAAATTTGAACCGGAGTGGTAATTTAACAAGGTTATTTTTTGATTTTCCTAGGGGTTTTCATAATAAATGGGCAATAAACGGGAAAATGTACGTATATGTATAAATGAAACTTCGCTCGTCCTAATCGTTTTTCGGTAACAATGGTTTATCGTTGCGTATAGATGTAAATTAAATTCCGCTTTATATTCTAATTTTCCAACTTCTCATTTATACAACAGTGGCCCACTCATCGTGCTAAGTATATGTCCGTATTTTTTTTGTTTTTTTATAAAAGTTTCGTAAAAACCAATGAAACGTATCATTATGACGAATATTCAATACTATTTTAGACGATGGGTGTCGGAACCTTTTTTTTTTTCTATCGAATAATATATTAAAAATAGTATACAAGACCATTAATGATATAAAATACGAACGTCGCAAATCGCAATATTTTTGGTGAGAAACGTTTTAAACGTAGTACGTCTGCGCACAATATTTTTTTATTTTTTTTTTTTTTCATATATTTATACTAATTAAGATCAAATTATCATTAAGTTACGGCGTTTTTTGTTGAAAGAAACAAAGGTGTAAATGATACTACATAGAAAATACGCGAAATTGAAGTTTTATCAAATATGCTGTGCAATGGTTTGGCTATGTAATGAGTAGGGAATAGTCAGAGGGAATCAGAGTAGTTGTATATAGAACGAAGAGACAATTGGTTAGACGGACATTAAAAAGACTCGAAGAAAACGGGAAATATTGATTAGGAAGATTTTTTTGTAGAGAAGGATAGTAGAAATCTAACCTGAAAAAAGAAGTCGCGTTGGCTGTTGAAACGCTGTTAAGTCGGAAGAGAGAAAAATATTAGTTGACTGTTGAGGTTAATGTAGGCCAATAATTGTGCGTTTTGTACGTCCCGAGATTGTTGATCTCGAAATATATATATATTATAGATCTGCTGCTAACCAACGTATAGGTATTCGTTTTACGTTGTATTATTATAATCCGATATGATCATTGTTCGTTATAATATTGTGTAACAGTCCGGTATTGCGCGATCTGTTTTGTTCGCGGATTATTGCTGTATGCGGTGTAAAATAAACATACATCCATGTCAGGCGATTGAAAAAAAAAAAAAAAACCCCCGTTACGGAGACAGGATTTTTGCGCTTACCATTAAGCAGTGTTGTATGTTGTGTTTGTTCTATAGTTACGTATATTTCTATGCCGTATCTCATCTAGAATAATGAAAGGTATAAATTATTTGAAAAAAACAAATTAGTATAATCTTCAATTGGATACCTACATTTATCTACACAGATAATTTTAAACGGTAATTTATATAATACATTTATTAGAAATAATATGGTAAAGTATTAAATGCATTATATGTATTATATTAGTACCTACCAATATGTTATAATAATTTAATTGTTGATATATAGATACGTCAGTAACACAATTTTTTTGAAATCTAGATGTGGTACCGAATTTTATACGCTAAATATAGGTATGTTAGGTTGGAAATGCAATGGGAAATGCACAAAATCATCTTTCTTTTAGATTTTGTGCTCAGCGAACAATGCATTGGTTTTACAATGATGTTTATTTATTTTATTTTTTATACTGTGTACAAAAATTCTACCAGAAATCTTGCTCCGAAGTATCAAGTGTAGCACATTTTCTGAAAGAGAATTTTCCTGGGGTTTTTTTTTTGATTTTTCAGGAATTTTTCTAATAAACGGGAAAAACGGGAAAATGTACGAAATGTATTATTTTCAAATCGTAAATATTGCTGCCTTTTAAAACATTTACAACGAACTCCGCTCAGAATCGTTGCGTAAAGATGTACATTGAATTCCTCTCTATAGCCTACATTCCTAACTTCTCACCCATACAACAGTGGCCCGCCCATCATGCGATGCACGTCCGTATCATTTTTTTTTTGTTTTTTTATACATCTGTCGATGAAAAGTCACTAACACTGTGTATATATTTATGTATCCCGGTACTAATAATAAGCAGTCTGTATACGTGTAATTAAACCGTCGAAACTTATTTATTGTAATTTTTCCAAAATCTGTTCGCGCGTGTACCCATATACATATGTTGTAAGTGAAACGTGTATACCGTGTACACTGCATCGACTTGGCGCTCGTCGGTCGAAAAATGGCAACGAGTTTTTTATTTTTTATTTACAAAGGTTGATGAAATATACGGTTACGCCCCCCGCGTTTCCGCCGAAGTATTTAATTACAAAGTCGACTCGCAGAGTTGTTTTAACGAAACCGCAGTGCGCGTATAATATACCGCAGTTTCCCTCTCCCCTCCCCCCTACGGCTTATTATTTAATGAAAATAACGAGCGCACTTTTTTATTTTTTCCATGTATATACATAAATAACCGCGGTGAAAACGGGCGAAATTTCCTCGTATATTTGCGCGCGAGATTTCTATCCGGTCCCGTATAAATAATCCGATGAATATTCATCGCGTCTTTTACCCGCGCTCTGCCGAGTACCTACCTAAGTATATATTATATTGTATATTATTTTTATTCCGGCCGTGAAGCCGCCATTTCTGTTTAACAGTATGTGCGTGTTTTTTTTTTTTTTTTTTTTTTCCCCCCGATCCAACGACGTGTAATTTCCCGTCGCTACGGCCCGTGAAGTTTTGTGTTTTTTCGGAATAAAATTATAATAACATTACCTGTGTATTATAATAATATAATAAACGCGCGTTTCAACCGCGTGTGTTACGCGTATACGAATCCGTATTTCACGGCGGTCTCTCATCGCAAATCGCTTTATCCGTAGATAGTATTTATAATAATAACGTCACCTATTTATATTTGAAAAAAAAAAAAAATGTTTGTTAAATAAAAATTAGTCTTCTACCCACCCCTCCCCTCTCCGATTTCGAAATAATTTGACCGCCGTTACTATATGTACGCGCCGCATAACCTATATTATATTGTTATATAATTTGCAAGGGACTACGCGCACGGCCGTTTTCCGCCGAAATACTGTAAAACGCGTTTTGTTTCCATTCATTTGTTTTTTATGATATTTTTCGCGTTCGATTTGTGCCGCGAACCCCCGGATTATCGGATACAAGTCCCGTTTACGGAACCGTCCCGCAATTTCTGTACCACTAAGTGTTTCATCAACTTGAGCATTTTCGCTAGAATATTGCGGCAAATAACAATACGTATAGTGAAATCCGAAGACGACGACGGTGATTTCAATTGGTGGTTTTTTAAATTTAACTTATCATCGTGTAAATAAATAATTGTAATCTTAACGATTACGAGCGGTGTTCGTCATTTTCGCAGTTCGTTTTTTCGCCGTGTTTAATAAATCATACGGTACCTATTTTACATAATTTTTTCGCCCGTCGGACGACGGTTATCACCTCGGCCCGCCTCTCGCTAGGCGTGTTAAAAAATATAAAAAAAATTAAAAAATTCTATGCTGTTCAGCATTGAAAATTTACCATTGCACATTTGCACTACTAATTCAACTAAGTCCAAACAACCGTATGCTTATTACACAATGTTTTATTTTGCAATAAAATAACTTCAAAAAAAAGGCTTTGTTATACAATAGATACTGTGATACTGTTTTACTTTTAACTATATATATATATTATTATGTGCAATTTCAATTGCTTATATTAGCCTCACTTCCAATAGAAAATTCCTGCCGGGATATGCTTCTGATACGAGTTTTCTACGATACTGCTTTTGTTTTCTCTTTTTAAAATTAACTTTCTGCTATATGCACAGAAGTAATCTGTGTGCGCCTCATTATTAGGCTAGAAAATAAATCAGATTAAATAAATATCTGTTGTTTATCGACGTATGTGTCTCGAACATTTTAATCATTCGTTCGCCTCTCGAAGCATCTGATAAGACAAGAAAAACCACGGCAGAGGCGCGAGGCGATGACGAAATAAGTCTATAATATTATTCTCATGGGCATGCGCACGGGGTGTGCAGAGTGTGCAGCTGCACACTCTGTACAAAATTCGGCCCACTTATAATGTTTGTTTTCGTTGTAAATTAAAAAATTATTTTAAGTAAAATGCGCCACATAATATACATTTTTAGATTTGGAGTTTAGCAATAGGAATACATTGGTTTTACATTGATGTTTATTATTGTTCAATTTTGTTTTGTCTGTGAACAACTTTTCTACCAGAAATCTCGCTCCGATTTTTAAGCGTAATAGTTTTTCTGAAACGAACTTGAATCCGGACGGTACTTTAGCGATTTTCATAATAATCGGGAAAACCGTATTAAAAGCGGGAAAATGTACGTACTTATATAAAAAAACTTCGCTCCGAATCGTTTTTCGTAAGTAATAATTTATCGTCGGGTATAGATACAAATTAAATTCCCCTCTATATCCTACGTTCCCAAATTATTGGTTTTGCCAAATTCAAAATTTAAATAACCTATCGTCGTACGTGTCGATTCAGTGTAGGTATAGCTGGTAATCTAAATGTCCAAGTTCGAGAGGAGTGTGTCCCCTCATCCGGCACCCCATATCTCCATGGTAAAATCTTCAGGTACACGCATGTTTTCGTCACTCGCGTAATTTTTTTTTTCGAAATTCAATCGCCGCGCATATACGCAAGACGAATGTAGGTATACTACACGGGCCACGCGAGAATATCGGTCAATAATCGGATTATACAATATTTTGCTTTGTGTGGTGCGCAGCAGTTACTCAAACAATATCGCCGCCAATAACATTGTCGCGATTTCGGTAAACGATTTTTCTCCGTACACATCGTAATAATGTAACATGTTGATGGCGATGATGACGGTGTATAGTCGCATGGGCCCGCGGGGACTTGTTTCGCGCGTACGCGGGCTTTTCGGTCTCGGCGGCAACTGGAGAGCGCGCCGCGGGGCCAAAAAAGTAGAAGAAAAAAAAAAAAAAGGGGTTTGACACAGTAAGTACATATATATATATTATACGCGAAACGCGCGTAACCGAATTATTGCGTTCGCGCACATAATAATATATAATATTACACGCGCGCCGCCGTCTCCCCGTGTGTACGTATACGTATACATAATACGCGGCGGGGCCAAAAAAGTAGAAGAAAAAAAAAAAAAAAAAAAAAAGGGAAAAAAGTGACCTTATATGTTTTCCGTCACATATGGGCCGCGCTACGCGCGGTTCAAAGGCGGTCTCCGCTTTCAAATTCAATATCGCCACAATGGACGCACTGTTATAACACGTACGATATACATATTTACTATTATACATTATATACATAATAATATTATTATTATTATTATTATTATTATTATTGTTGTTGTCAGCCTGTCATTACGCGCCCGCTGTAAAACGCCGCCGCCGCCGTACGCGTATTATTATTATTATTTAGCGCGCACACGCAGCCGTACTTATTCGCGCGCGCGCGCGTGTGTGTGTATATCGTATATTATTACAACGCACGACGAATAAAATATTTATTACGTTATCACAATATAATATTTTATATACACGGGGCGATTGTTTCGTCGGAATGGGTGTGGTTCCGTGTACGCGCGCGTTGACCCGTCTACGCGCGGTCGCCGTGATGTTCGATTAGCGGCACGGTTACAGTATTGTCGTGTTTAGAAAAACGCGTGAAAACAAAAACCGCACAATGAACCGCGCGTCTGCGCGGATCGGTCTACGCGTGTTTGACGGGGAATGGGATCCGCGAATGGGCTCTGAACTGCGTCCCTACCGCGATCCGGTTTCGCCGTCATTGAATCCGCTGTCTATTCGGTGTTTGCGTTCTTTTACGACGTAATTCCAAACGGAATTTGTAAGTTCGCTAATTGTTTGCGCACACCATTATCGTTTGATAACATATTATGATATTATATTATGCACGACGGTTTCAACCAAATAATAGCAAACAAGCGTGTTGGCGCGTGTGTTGGCCATGCAGTTGTCGGTAAACAGTTTGCCGCGTTGTTCGCATTTTTATTTCGATGCATCAGCACGCCAAAAATCATAGGTTTTCCGGATATTTTGATAACATTTCATAATATTAAGAATGAAAATAATATCTAACAGAAAAAAAATGATATAAATCGATCGTTATCATTACTTTATATCACATTTATTTTTTCTCCTCAAACGGTAGCTTAACCTCAACCATTCCCATACATATATAAGTTAAATTTTTCTCATCGTGCCTTATACAAAACAAAATTGAAAATTAAAAAAAAAACCAATGTATTTAAGTCGAATTTTTTACCTCGAGATGACAAAATAATAGCCCTGCGAAACTCGAATAGGTTTCAACGATTTTAGGTGATATTTTTAGATGGTAGTGGACGATGTTACAATGATACGATATTTTGACAACTTTGAATGACTTCCAGTTTTATACCATTAAAGGTCTGAACAGTGGCGCTGAAGTAAATTTTAAAACATATTGCAAATATACAAATTTACTAAAAACCGTATGAAAATATATAGGTAATTTGCATGCGAATTCCTATAAGCTTTAAAAACACTTAAACAACTAAATTTAATATACTATTAAATCTTTTGTTAAGTTTCATACAAAAATGTATTGTAATATTTTGTCAAGTTAAGGTTTTGTTTTATTTAGAAAATATATTTCAGGTTGTGTAATAATATTATTAACATTTCTGTGTTTATCTATTTTATTTTATTTATTGACTTAGATTTTATATTATACATTTCTATTCCCTGTAAAAACGACCTAAGTCAAATATGTTTTATCTCAATTTAAAGCATTTTGTTCAAAGTTAGACTGTTTAAAACTATGTGTTATAAATATTAGAAACCTTATAAATAAATTAGTAAATAGATGTAAGTGCGAAAAAAGTTAGATTTCTGGAGTAATTAAGTTTTTTTTGGTTCCTGTAAAATTTTAATTTAATGACTTATGTAGTTTTTAAAATGATCGTTTCAATTAAACTGTTTTTTCTATCATCTTTTTACCCAAAGAACTACTGCGCTCTTGAACAGTAATTATATTTTAATGTCGAATAATATTCGCCAGTCGTGACAGGCCTATTACAAATAAAGAAGAATAAGATAAAACAATGTATTATATTATAACGTTTTTTTATCATATTGCCTTCTATTAGGATTTTTTTTTTTTTGCAAGTTGCTTAAAAGATTGGCTGATTTAGAAACCACTATAATTCAACAAGTATAATCAAATACTCCATCATACATACAAATGTGTCAATAATATAAAATCATAGAACAAAATACCTACTAAAATTTAAAAAAAAGTGGCTTCATTAAGAACACTCCTGGACCACGGTGAAATTTTTCAATTAACCGATTGTTTTCAATAGGCGACTGTTTTCTGTATTTATTTATTTATGTGTGTACTATTAATAAAAATTTTAAAAAACTTACAATAATTGAAAATTGTAAAACATTGATTTCTATCATATATGTTTTATGTTTTATATTACCTTATAATATGTTATGTAAAAAATGTAGCAATCTAATGGTGATATCTGTTTTTTTGCTTGAGTAACTCGTAAATGTCTTATATTGTCTTCATAAGAGTAATGCCTTTTTCATAAGCACGGTGCTAGACTACTGTGTGAGGACACACACTACATGAGCTTCCACGATTTCCTTATTTGATGGAGGTCTTTCGCTGTTTTCATATTCTACATGATCAGTGTCGGCCTATTCAAGTGTTTGACGATTAATAACCGCGATACGGATATCCTCTTGCTTCAAATAACCAACGTGTTGTTTCAATAACCCGCGATTCATTCTCAATGTTTTAATATACGACCGGGACATTTTGTTTTAATAACAACGCGATTGTATATCTGTATTATCCGTGTTCCTAATAAGCGGCTTCTACTGTATTATATTATTTACCAAGTTTGAACTTAATTGCTATAATGTTTTAACATATACCCGTAGATAATGTAAATATTATGCAATTCGATTTGATTTTACTTGGTCGATTATGGTATCGATAAATTGTCTATTTATTTATTATTTTTTTACTCGATTTTTTTTTTTTTTATTTTGGCTACATAAAATTGACATTTCGGTGTAGATATTACTGGGTGTGAAAAGTACGAGAATTTATAATATTAAGAGAACGTTATACCCGTATCTACTGTCTTAGTCCAACTACTGGGTAACATGCAAAAATAATGCTTACGGAGAATAAGTAAAATTAGTATAATTTTGATTTTATAGTAAAAGTACTTATTGTGAAATTTATAGAGAACAATATTTTGGAGGAAACGTCTAGGGTGTTTTTGAAATTATGAACTATGAAAAAAGATACAATTATTTAAAAACAAAAAATGATTTTTGTATCTTTTATATCAAGCTATATATTTTGAGTGATATAAAAATCCTATGACATTCCCTTCAACATTTTGTTCTTTATACATTTCAATATATAGGTACTTTTACTCTAAAATTAAAATTAAGCTGGTTTTACTTATTTGGCGTAAGTACTGTTTTTTCATGTTACCCGGTAGTTGGAATGAGCCACTGAATACGGGTATAACGTCCTGTATTATTACAAAACGAATCGCAAACATATACAGTATGTCCCACCGTGTTCGACGAATTTTTCTGGTGCTGTTGATATTAAATTTTTTTCGATATTTTTTTTTCAATCGGTTTGTCTTCAAGCGGGACATCGATTTAGAGAAAAATTAAATTTTTGTTTTCATCCACTAAACACAAAACAAAAATATTACAAAAAATATTATTCTTAACATTTTGATGTATGATATACATTCATATCCGATGAATGATTTCTTAATTATAGTCTTTTTAATTTCTAGAAAATAGGCATGAAAACATTTAATATTCAATAGAAGGTACAATTATTTACAAAATGGCTATTTTGAAAATTTTCCAAAGTGAACGAACGAAAAGTTAATTTGTTTTGTGTGTGTTCAGGGAATGAAAATAAAAATGTAATTTTTCTCTAAATCGATGGCCCGCTTGAAGACAAACCGATTGAAAAAAATTTAATATCAGCAGCGTCCGTCGACACGGTGGAACTCACTGTATTAAAACATAACAGCGGCTTTTTTCTCGCCGATTTTCCGATAGCCATTTGTCGACTGCAGTCGGCATCGGGATAATACTTTTACGTTAAATTCGTACGGTGACGAGTAACGTGAACGGGTAAAGGGCCACGGAAAGCGATTCGTGTAAGAAACGGTGGATTATCTGCAACGCGGGATTATTCGGGAGACGTGTGCACCGAGTGTATAAATCAAAGACACGGCGAGTATCGCATTGTCGTCGTCTTGTGTAATAAAACACACGCGTACAAAGTAAACGGATCCGCGTTCGTGTACACACACACACACACACACACGTATATATATATTTATATGTATAACATATTATAATATAAGTGTGCTGGTGTATAATACGAGATTTTCGTTCTCAATATTGTACGGTCTCAAAGAGAAACTGAACGAGAATTGGTTTTATATGTGTACATACCCGAGTGGTGTGTGTGTGTGTGTGTGTATACGAATATGTTATTATGTATACGAAATCTGCCGTCTCCCTCGCGTCCGTTCGCGCACCCTCTCCTCACCTACCCTCCCGCTAACTCGTCGCGCGTCCCTATCGTTTCTTGCAGCGGTTCGCGCACGCACACCGGCGAATACCGCGCGAGGGCCGGCGGGGCGCGAATCGCGCAGTACAGTGCCGGGGGAACGCGGCGTCCCGGGCGGCGCGGCGCGCACGGGGCGTGTCCCGGGCGGCCCAATCGGAACGCCGGCCGGGCGTCACGCCCAAAATTTCTCCCGCGGCGGCAACAATGTTTACCCGTGTTTTATCGTCGTGCGCGCGGAATATTTATATACCTAGTATATTATTATATAGGTATACAATAAGCGGTCGCGGTGAGAAAGGAGGGGAGAGAATTAAAGAGAGAAGCGGCCGCGCGAACGGAGAGAAAGAGAGAGAGATAGAGAGAGAGAGAGAGTGATAATATTGGGCGTCGAAAAGGAGCGGAGAAATCGAAACAGAAAATTTATAATACATACCGTGACACGCGGAACGGGGAATAAAAATAAAACAAATTTGTATTCACGCACGTACGCAAGCCGCTCGGCCAATGTTTGTGTATTTGTTGTTGTACCGCGGCGGACGCGCGCGGCCGGTAGAGGGGAGCGGCGCGCCGTCGTAGGCGTACCGACAACGTGTGCAGCAGCAGCAGCAGCAACCGGCAGCGCCGCCGTAGCCGTTCATTCGCGAACGTACCGCCGTCATGTGTAGCAGGCCCACGGACGAGGGCTCGGAGCCCGGCGTCGACTCGTCGCAGGCCAACCTTAACCGTTACCGGTTGCATCTGTACAATTACGCGCTGCAGGCCGAACGCCTGCGGTTGTCGGCCGTCGGCGGTGGATGGGGCGCCGTGTGCCCCGTATACCCGACCACCGCGGCCGCGGCCGCCGCAGGAATCTATCCGCCCCGGTTCCCGGTGGCTCTGTTCCATCCGGGCATCGGGGCCGGCGGTCAAAACGCCGCGGACGAGCCCAAACCGCAGCACAGCTATATCGGACTGATCGCGATGGCCATCCTGGGCTCGGCCGAGGGCAAGCTCGTGCTGTCCGACATCTACCAGTACATATTGGACAACTATCCGTACTTCCGGACCCGGGGTCCGGGTTGGCGCAACTCGATCCGACACAACCTGTCGCTCAACGACTGTTTTGTCAAGGCCGGCCGGAGTGCCAACGGCAAGGGCCATTACTGGGCCATACACCCGGCTAACGTGGACGACTTCAAGAAGGGAGACTTCAGGCGCCGGAAAGCGCAGCGCAAGGTCCGCCGGCACATGGGTTTGGCCGTAGACGACGACGGCAACGATTCCCCCAGCCCGCCGCCGCCACCGCCGCAACAGCATCACGCCGTGGCCCTGCAGTCGCCGGTCATGTGGCAGCCTCCTCCGGTCCCGTCTTCCGGCGGCGGACACCCGTCGCCATTCTACTTTCAGCCCGCGGTCGTGCCACAACACGTCCAGCAACACCATCATCACCATCATCATTCGGCGCCCGTCGTGCAGGCCAGGGCGCAAAAACGGCAGTTCGACGTGGCCTCGCTGCTGGCGCCGGACCCTCCGAAACGACACCACCTACACCGGAACGACCCGATGACCCTGATGACCGCTGTGCAAACGACAACGTGCACGACGACGACAGCCGCCGTGATGACGGGCGGCAGTAGCGACGACGACGACGAGGCGGCCTGCAGTCGAAACGGAAACGGCGGCGGTGGCGGCGGCGTCTGGGAGCCGGCGGGCCTGCTGCAGCGGTATTACGAGCAGCAGCTGCAAGCGGCGCACAGGCTGCACGCGTTCCGCCAGTCGCTGGGCTTGCAGCGGATGATCAGTGGCGGCGGCGGCGGCCCTTGGCCCGCCGCCGTCATCGTGGACCGGAACCAGACGCCCTCGCCGTCGTCGCTGCAGCAGTACGCCACGACCGGTACGCCGGACGATCCGATCAAAACCGAACTAGTCGACTGAGGTAAACGCGCGCGTTTTTCAATAATCTCACGTATAGGTAATAAACGTATTAACGATAATACGAATGCAAATAACGTCGAAATAATTAATACATTTAATGTTTCGTTTACAAATCGAGTGTATAGTGTGAATACGAGTAGCGGTTTGCGAGCGTAGATTCGTTTTGCTCGTGTCGATATAATAGAACTATATTGTAGGAGGCGTCATTTTCACGCGATAAATTATACCAGTCGGAATCACGATCCGATTCCGTCTCGTATTATTGTATAAAATATTATTACCCGCGATTTCACGTTCATACGTTGAGAAAAACGAGCAGTACTATGATGTTGTTATTGTTTTCACAGTAACTTATCGGTCTTTTCGCCTTTTTCGGCGGTATACCGACCGACCGGCCGGTAGGCGTAAATATCGAATGGGGGGAAGGGTCCGGGGTCACTCGAAATTTTGTTTTTCCCGCCAAAAACCGATGACTTACAAACACTAAACGCATAATCGTCTTGAGCAAAAAAACAAAAAAAAAAAAAGATTCTAAAAAACATGAACGCAACGCAACGCAACGCTTTTATTACGAGTATTTGAAATAGTATTTTTCATTATAATTTTTTTTTTTGTTTTGCTTGTTAATAAATGTCGCCGCTCCCGAGTTACTAATTAAACACTAGTTACTCAAATATCACAGGCTAATTTAAGGGTCCGGGGAAAGAACGAGAACAGTCCGTTTTTGTTTTTATTATTTTTTTTTTTTTTCGGTTAATTTTCCTATTATATTCGCTGACTATCGTGATTATAGTATCAAAACAATAACCCGACGTGGTGAAAATCCGGGATGAAATTTGTGTGTACCTGGTAGAAATAATACGTTTTGTGAAACGTTTAAAATTCGCTACTAAACATTCGGTATATTCCCGCGCAGTTCTTCCCCCGGAATCGTTCGATTATCACGTTACGCCGTTTCGCCGATCATCGTCCCGGTAAGGCTTTTCCTCATAAGATATGATATATACTGTACCCTCGCGATCGTTCACGAATATCATTGTAAAATATTGTACGGCGATATTATTATTATAATTATTATTATTATTGGCGTATGTATTAATATATAATATGATATTACTATTATTATGATAAGAATATATAGTTATTTATTTGATGTTAAACGCGTTTTTATTTTATTTTATTTTTTTTTTTTTTAGAGAGATTGTCGTAAATGTTAATTATTTGTTTTGTAATGTATAACCTGTAAAACGTGTAAAAACGTCTTTCATCCATCCCCTACCGCACCCGCCCCATCGTTTCTGTACATATATAAAAAAAACGTGAAGTTGTACGTACACAAAAAAGTACATTATATATCATGTACAATACGCGGTTTCCGATCGAAATATCGGTACACATATTATAATAGTATTTATAATGTGGTTTTTTTTCTATATATATATATATTATATATTACTATATATATATAAATCAAAATAAAAACGTAATATATTATATTGTTAATTATATATACATACATATTTTTTTTATTTTTTATTTTTTTTGTTATTTTCCACGACAATTTCGGAGAAAATACGTCATACGTAATACTATACATTATGGACACCGCGAAAGCGTGTGAAAATTCTCACGTCCTCCGCGATGGCGAGAATAATTTAAAAAAAAAAAAAAAAAAAAAAAAAACGGTCAGAGTTCGCCAAAAGCCTCAGGCGGTACGTGAATTATTATTATTATTATCGCCTCTCACGCGCCATGGCCTACACAGTATTTTGTATAAATACGAATTCGACTGGCGACAAACACAAACGCGTGTAGTCTTTCGGGGACAGGTATAGTGCAATAATTTCACAAGTGGTTCTGGAAAAGTGAGTTTTTTTTTTTTTTTTTGCGGTCGCAGCGGCGGCTCTTGAGCCTTTCGTATGAGCAGCGAAGCGAATATATTTCAAAAATTATCCAAGAGGGAGGGCTGTTAAAGTAATGTACGCGGAGAGACGCGAATATTATAACGCATACAGTCAAAAACGATCAGGAGCTATTATCGTTAATGATTATTGTTGATTTGAGTTGTCAGTAATACAATATATTTCGAACATTTTTTACTAATATTTGGTTGTGCCGGTGTTCGCCCGCGGGTGATCGGGTCCAATCATTTTTCCCGTTTATTACCATACAATACTATCGACATTTTTTATTTACACGGTGTCATCGTGAATAATATTTAATATTATTATGAATTAATAATCATATGATTGTTGATTTGTCTATTTTTTTTTTTCGTCCGGCGTAGTCCGTGCCAATTTAATTCCTCTCCCCTTTTTTTTGACCGTTTAAAAACCGAAATCTATAAAAAAAAAATCTCAATTGTCTCTCCTGTCTCCCTTTTTATTTCAACAGGGTCACCGAGATAATCAACCAAAAAAAATTCCTAATTTTCGTTTAAACACATCACCAGAATCGCACGCCAACACGCGCGCAAATATTTACTTTTATTTTGATACAAGATTACATATTTTTTTGAAACAGATCAGTAGGTACTAAATTCATTTTTGAATGATGTAATTTATATTAAATTACGTATGTTTATTTCGGCGAAATTTTATAGGCGGAGCAGCGCTTCGTCTGGCTGAACCGCCACTGGGTTATCGTCATACTAGCTTGTTGTATTTGATGTTTTGAGGCAACTGAATAGTATATTATGGCCGATTTTTGGTTTTTTTTTTGGAAGGCGTCTACTTTATTTTATAATAATAGTAGGTATGCGCCGAAACGAGTGTGCGTGAACACAAACACGGGCGAATGGTTCCCATTCAAAAATATTGACGCAGGCAAGCGCATTTTCCGGTCGTTAACACCAACATGCCGCTGGTTATGCCAACTTGAAAATTTGAGCCCGGGAACGAAATTTCCAACGAGCTTCTCCTCTCATTCCCCATACTGAAACTGTTTGATGGGAGATTCAAAAAAAAAATATATTATTGCTCGTTTTATTAAAGGAACATCGTATTATTAATAAATATATACAAGGAATAAAACTCGACGTTCGACGATTAATGATAAAATCATAAAAGTTATATCGTTTTCACCGTAGTAAGCAACATACATTATAGCTATCTCACGATAACATAATATTCACACTCATACAGACTACAAAATAATGCAAGCACCTAATCATAATACTAATAGTAATAATAATACATAATGATTTTGAATCAATTGTTTATGAAATTAATAGTGTAATAGCGGTAAGTATACATTATAAAAATAAAAGAAATCTATTACTCCGGGTCTCCTGAACAAAAAGTAGTGGCGTACGCAGAATTTATATTTATGGGAGGGAGAGTTTACTATAAGTATAATAAAAAATATTCTTTATAAAATGCTTATTTTATTAAAATTTGGGATACATTTAATATTGTGGGAGGGTTAAATCTCAAACCTCCCTTGATACGCCACTGAGCCCGGGTACTCCCTTTGATTCCTCTTAGTTACGCCAATCGTTAACACGCTATAGGTATAAATATACACAAATATCTGGGACTCTTTCAGAAATATAACATATTATATTTGATACAATCGAGAGTAGAAGTAGAATATGGTGGGTCAGACACGTTTGGCCACATCAAAATCCACTTTTACGCATGGTAATGGAATAAGGGGCCTTATGGACACCCCTCTCCCTGTTTGATATGGGAAAATAATGGTGAGCCTCTACGTGAAATCTCTAAATGGAGGATCGAACTGGAAATTAAAAGCAGCTGACAAAGAGAATTGGTGGATTGGATACGTGACGGGATCATCCGGTCGGTATGGATGTATGACCCTAGTAACTGATAACTCAAACAATAAGAAGAAGAAGGTAAGTGTACAATTCTTTAGAAAATAAACGCAAAGTAACCGCGCAGTCGTTATACTGCGGACATATTACAATATTTATAATTATTAATGTTCCAAATTTGAAAGCAAATAGCTTTTTTGTTTTGAAAACATGATACAAAGATAATTCTTATGTAAAAATGTATTTAAATTTCAATTATTTCATAACAAAACAACATTAGTACCTAGGTATATATTGGTTGTTTACTATATTATAAATTATCGCAGTTTGTACAGGACGGCCTCACCGGACGCGAAGGGGAGCGATATAAACTCCTACAAAGTTTTGTAATTTCCTACATATAGCTAGACATAGTGTAATCTATAGATCTTATTATCTTTAGATAATGTGCTCTGCTATGTGGATATCGTCGCCTCCTACCGCAGGCTTTTATCAAATTAATGAATGTTTGGAAAAAAATTAATTTTGAATTATATTCAGTTTTTCGAATAATATAAATTTCATAAATTATGGTAAATACGAGTAGCTTTAATTTGTAAACGCAACAGAAGGAAATCAAGTTTATTTGTATACGGTACCTTCTTAATAAAATTATTAACACGAAATTTCTACTCGATCAAATATTTCATGTTTGGTATTGTTGTAATATTCAAATGTTTATAATTTCTTAATTCCGAATGCCGAAAAAAAGGAATTCGGCATTAATTCTTTGAGCGGCGGTAGAAGCAATTACCTTGAATGAAAAAAGAAAAAATTTAAAAACCCCCGATCCAATGAAATACATTGGAAAAATCTACGTTAAATAAGATTATTAAACAAGTTGCCGCCCGTCTCCCGAATATTGTTTTACATCTACGGTATTGTATGCGGGGCCATATTTAAGCGCAAATTTCATAGGCTACAGCCTAGGGGTCCGCACCAAAACAAATTTTTTTCAGTATACATTAAAATATTTGTTTGCTATGCTATACAAAACGATATATTTAGAGAACTTTTTACGAACTTAAATAATTTTCTTAATTTAATATTAAGTGAAGTTTTTTAATTGATATAAGTCGACAATAATAACACCGTTGGTGTTGTTTAGCTATTCTTACCACATATCAACATTATTTTGATTTCAAATTTATTTATAAAGCCATCCCTGGATGGAAAGGGGGTGCAAAAAAAAAAGAGCCAACCGATCATCAATATATCAAATATATTCCTATACCCATGGCGGGACCCGAACTATAGGCTAGCCGAAGGGCCAATATATTCTAAATACGACCCTGATTGCATGATGAGCGTTGAAAAAATGTTACCCGGGGGAGGAGGGGAAACAAATTTCCGGGTCTGAATTTTCTCCGCTTCTGTATTTTTCGTTTTGTCGCGGTTTACAGGTATAGCGTGGTCGGCTGTTTTAGAACGAAAAGAAAAAAAGGACCGTCCATTCCGTCGCAGTTCATACACCGCATCTCCCGTGTATTAGAATATTATTGACACGGTGCATATTTAGTTTAACTGCCGAACTCGACCGAACCGAATCCCGGTGTGCTCGCGTTGTTCCGAACGACGACGCTTGCGACGCGCCCTGCGATGCAAATCCGGGCCGACACCTCGGGACAATCGGCGATTACAATTACGGTGTATTATTATTTTTATAATAACAATGTGTATAATAATAACACGCGGGGTAAAAAAAAAACGGAAAAAAAAAAGTAGCAATAATAAAACGGCGGTGGGTTTACGCGAGTGTGAATCGCGTAGTTATTGTTACGGCGGAACGAGCGCGCGCACGCTCGCCGTCACAATGTAATTCGCGGACGTCGATTTGTGCCCGCCGAGATCCCGCGGAGAGTGCCCGCCACGCGATTATTATTATTATTATTATTATTATTAATATTAGCAATAATTTATTTAAACTCTCTGGCCCAGAATTAATACGCTCCCGTCAGCCGGGATCCCGCACCCTTCATACCCCCCCGCCCCCCGGACCACGCCGTTGTATATTGTGTACCGTTGTATGTTGTAGGTTGTATGCAACGGTAGATTTTTTTTATTTATTTTTTTTTTCGCACGTTGTTTTTTATTCTATATTCCGCAGCGCGCCGTCGTAGCCGGTGGCGACGAGGTTTTTCACTCGGAAATTCGTTACAATTTAATGACCGCTCAAGATATTATGTTACACAAATCAAAATATTTTTAACTTCGTACCTTTACATAACATTATAATTGCCCGGGTATATTATTTTACACTCATTCGTTCGTATCGCACTGTACTTGTGTATATATTATAAAATACGAATCAGTAGCGGATATCGGGGGGGGGGGGCGATTGGTGGATCGTTGGGTTTTTTGTCACAACCGTACACATATTATTACTTATAACTTTATTGTTAAGAAATTATACCCCGTTACCCCCGTGGATTTGAAATCCCCCTCTCAAAATTGGGATATATTCGTCATTGATATGAATACAACCGTCAACTGCACATCACTTTCAGATTTATCGTACAGCTTAATCTTATCGATATCTAAACTTCAATTGGGCGTCACAATCATCCTGGCTTATCCGTCTAAACGTATGATAACGCATTAAAGTGATAACGGAGCTCTTCGCGTGGACTAAATGAGAAAAACACAGAGTGTTTTGATCATTTGTCCCCGGGACCAGAAGTGTTCTCTTTCACAACTATGTCACTATTTCCTATTACCTCTTTTGATCCGTTTTGAGTAACCACGTCCACTGATCTCTTGTACTCCGTGGCTCCGTCTATAGATTAACAGAATAGTATGGCAATAATTCGTACATGATGGTCTTAATTGTTTTGTGATGATATCATGTAGCGTTACTAAGGGTAAGCGTCCTTGGGCAAGTTCAGATTTTGTGCCTCAGCTACTTCGTCGATTTTTTCCTTAGACACATTTCGTGCAAATTCTTCACGTGACGCAAATCTTAGAGTTTTAAAGTGTAATCTCCTGATTCGAATTTCACTTTGAACCATCTTTTAAAAAAAGATAATAAAGATACGGTTAGGCCTTCAGTAGTATTTTTGCGTTCTTGAATATTGGCCTATATTGGCTATATTGTAATAAAACCAATGACAAAAATACCCCAATATGCTATTTCTCTTCCCTGAAAAAATCACATTACCCTCAATCTAATCAGTGTAGGCAAGTCCTATCCATTTATTTATAATTTATGTTTTTTATTGTGGTGAGTGATACGTTCATCTACAAAAGTGTCACCGGGGATTTATAATTAGAAAAGGAACAACTCTGATACCAAGTGATAGTTAATATTACTGGCATAATAGTAATTATCAATTATCGAGCATGGGTATCATAGCGTGACAGTTGATTTCACAATATTATGATAGTAATTGTTACCCGATCACACGACTATAGTTCGTGATAATATTCTGTTATAGCTGTGAATTGTACAACTATCACGTCAGTCACTATCGTCGCATGGACCAAGGTTTATTCATCATAATTTCAATAATTTGGATTTGTTAAAAAAAAATCATACCGTTGATTCGATTATTATTTATATCGATGAACAAAAACAATTCAGTAACAATATATAATGAGATTTTCTAAAGTCAATTTGGTTTTTTTTTTTGTTTAAAAAATACAATATAGTAATTTATTAAATTATTCAACGTTGAGATTTGTATTTGCATAATAATCCAGATAAACAGTATATACAGTTAATTAATTATAATAATTATTAATAATAAAAGCGTTATAAATTTCAATATTTCGATTTTTCGAGTCCTTTGACCTTTTTTATCAATCGAATTCTCTGAGCAGCCGTTGTTGATTTCTTGGAAAATGTTCGATATTTCATGTGCCGGAATATTTTCCGAAAATAATCTCGTCATTATTTAAACAGGCACCGGTACCTGCCGCAAATCTTTGTGAAAAAACAATTAGTTTTATTAAAAAGAAGTATGTTAGGACATTTTTCGGTTAGTAAATGTTTGGGTTTTTTTCATGCCATAATAATACCTCGAAATATGTGGATTTTCTGGCTGATATTAATAGGCACTTTATTTGAAAAATGTTTGCAATCGAAAAAAAATCGTCTATCATCGTAACTCTCGGTTTATATTGGTATACTGTATATTATCTTATACTATAATATAAACTAAATAACCCCGTAATTCAGTGTTGATCACAACCTTTTTAATGTTACCGTCTCCTTGAAAAGCAAACGATATTTTACAACTCGTAATTATCAAGAGCGTGGGTACGAAAAGAGGGCTACTGAATTTAAAAAAAAAAAAAAAAAAAAAAAAATTGAAATGATCAATGGAAACACACAAAAAAAAAAAATGGCATAAACTTATTTAATTAACAGTTTTCTTTTTCGGAGAAAATTAAAAATCGAACGAATAACCAAAGAAGAACTTAATCCTGTTTTTAAAACCTCTATTATTTACTGCGATGTTTTTTTTTTTTTTTTTTTATTGAAAATCAACGCCGTGTTTACGCGTAGGTCTTATCCGATAATATTTATTTTATCGTCGTCCGCGCACCACTGCTACACTGCAATCAAAAAACACTTTTTTTTTTTATTATTATTATTTACCGAAACTAAGTACACCATATGCGGTCGCGGTGATCGGTTCGTCAGCAAGCCCGAGACAACCCCCGCGCGCAAATTACCCTATAATAGCCCCGACACGCATTATTTTATTATAGATTATTATGAGCCCTCTACGGCCCTCGAGTTTATTGCCACGCCGGGGGGGAAACTCGCCCCTTTTACACTCTTCACGCTGCACCGCTGCGCAAACACTTCACGAATAATATGATACGCGTTATATGGATTGAAAAAAAAAAAAAACTGACACCGTCGTCGTGACCACACGCGTCTGCCGAATTATTCTTAATATATGTTGCGGTAAATGTTGTAAAATCGGTTAATGTAATATTTACTGGTACTTGTTTTTATATGAAAATCGATTGTGTGCTGTTAGTTTTAACATTAGGGTGTATTTGTCTGTTATTAAATCTAAAGACAAGGACACAGTCCACATTTGCATACGTTAGTTTCTTTCGATATTTTAGTTTCCAAGTGAATTACGAATATGTAAAAATGTTACAATTTTAAAACCGTCCTATCTCGCTTAAAAATTAAAATGTCGAAAACAAACCAACGCATGGACACAAACGATATTCTCACCTTTAACTTTTAAGTTTTATAATAGGCCAATAAACTCTAATATCGAAATTTTTACAACATTAACCGATTTCACAACATGTACCGTAAATTCTATTACGTATAATGAACATCGAGTATTCGGGATAATATTATGCTGTGCTGTGTTTTATCTATAGCTATAGAATTATTATACGCTGATTTATGAACTGCATTAATTGCACATCCTTTTTGAAATCTATACGTTTATTTTGTGTACACCATATTTGGTACACTTTAAGTGCGTTCACTTAACCGTAGATTTTCAATAGCAAATGGAACAGAATTACTTTTTGATTGCTGATTATTCTTTTTTATAGAAAGTTGCAGTGTTACGTTTCTTGTATCTTCATCTAAATAATTAATCTAACATATCATCTCTCATCTTTAAAATTAAAAATGTATCTTTACGCAGCAACGTGATTTAAGTACTAGCGATCTACGTCCCAATCGCAAATATTCGGTACTTCTTATCATTTTTAAGTTGGAATTAAAACTTTTTATCTTTAATTAAACAGCTGTATGTTTACGCATTGTGTTTACCGATCATGTTTTCGGACTATTCATATGGGCCGATAATATCTTAAAACGTGTTAAAACCACTGCTCATGTATACTTACTTGGTTCTCAACTTGTCGTGTCGTGAGAAATATTATTTTTTTGATTGAGTCAATTTAGCGGTACAGCGGTCACTTTTTAATGGTTCGTCGGGCATCTGTATACTATTTTAATTTGTGGTGTCTACCAAGACGTTGCCGAGAGTAGAATTTATTCAACTCACGGCCGCGTTTTCGATGCACATAGCACATCATTTACCGTGTGATTTGCCATGGATATATCTTATCGTTTATTTTCTATTATCATTACTATCATCGCAAAAAAAAACTACGATCCAGCAGATTGAAATCCACACGACACGACGAGTCCCTATCCCCGTTTTATCCTTTATGTTATATTTACTTATACGCTTTGAAAACACGCTAGAACGGCACAGCGGTGGCAAGTCGTGTAATAACTACCGCACTTCATTATTATTGTAATTTTTGTATAGTGGTTTTTTTCCTTTTTTTTAGTGTAGTTAAGTACACGCAACACCGCGAATGATGGATCGCATAACGTTTCGTGTTCGAAGTGCCGCACCGTTTTGTACACGGAAACAGTGAAATTTTTGTGAAGTAAGATAAACCACCGCAAACGCGTGTATAGGATATAGGTAGTTTTTATTACATTGAGTAGTTCGAAAAAAAAAAAAAATAACAAAAATAAAATCCGGCGGTTGCAAAGAGAATTCTGTAAATCGTGTTACGTCAGCAGCGAACAGTGGTCACTCAAATTCTATACGTATCTGCGTATACGCATATTAAGTCCAGATATCAAAAAATAAAACCTAGAAAATACAATTAATTATCGAAAACTGAAGTCGAACCGTTAAAGATCACTACTATGCAACTACTCTGCAACGATTTATTATTTTTACTTTTATAAAACAATATTTCCAAGTTATAATATTTCCTTTAGAAATTGCAATTAATTCATGATTATTGTAATATCCTGGCAAGGCCGGGCAATAGTTAGTCAACGCTTTAACACGTTCAAAACATAATTGGTTTATTAATTAGCTGCAATTTTTTTTAGGGGTTTTGTAAAATTGTTATCGTCTTTATGAAAATAATGAAAACTAAAGTTCGTTAATTTTTTTTTTTTTTTCTGAAAACAAGTTTAGTCAATGTAGTCGATTTATTCCGGACACATCAAATATTATTATATTCTTTTAAATTCGGAACTCCCCGATAGCGTTCGAATAATACGCTCGGTAAAAGTACGAATACCGTAGCATAATAAATAATAAAGATTGAAAATAAAAATAAAATTTATTTAACGTGGTATAGATGAAAACTCGTTATTAATTATATTGAGTAAATTTAAGTGAACGTAAAGAAAATAAGTCAAGTTAAAAGTTAATGAGTTAATTAAAAATCAAAGGTTATGCCTATAAACATTACTGTTAAATGTTAAATTTAACATAACTTTTTAAATTCCGAGGCTTGGTAATACACAACGATATTACGGTACCAAACAGTACCTATATAATAGTTATACAATGTTAGTTTATTATGCTCGTGTAGTATTATTTTAGATTCTGAGCGTGGCAATAGTGTGGCAATAATTTCAAAATTTGTTTTTATCTTTAATGTGCCCGTAACTTTTCGATCGGAACTCTTGATCCAATCAAAACTCTATAGATACTCCCTGATAGCGAATGTTGTCTACGGTTGGTGCGTCGTAACAACGGTTCCTGTTATTTCCGTTTATGATTTTCGTCGTTGTAACTTAGTTACACGTGAAACTTCCACCGGACAGTACCTATTACTCGCATTGTATTGAAATTTGAAATTTTCGCAAATGTCCCGGACCTTTTGTTTCCGATTCATTACGATAATTACAGCTATTCGAAAATGTCGGGGTTTATTTATTTTTTCTCTCCCGTCCGGCATCACGAACCTAACCACCGCACTACGCGCCCGACATAATAACATATACTAATCGCAATAGTTCGGAGCGGGGAACCGACTGGGGGGAGGGGGGATTGCGAGGGGACCAGCGCGGTGATCGCCGCGGTACAATAGCGCCGTCGAATCGCCGCGGCCGCCGCAGTATAATAATAATATAAACACACGCGAGCGACGTGAGGTATAGAAAAACTAATAATCGGGACGCGGGACCCTTCGTCGGCGGCGCGGCGGACGGCGTCCCGTACCGGGACAACGTAACCGAAATAATATATATTATAACCGCTGTCCATAATAACAATATGATAACAATGATAACGATACAGACACACACGGACGGACATTATTGTAATAGTAGCGTGTACGGGACGGGGAGGAGGCGTGTGTGTGTGTGTGGAGGGGGAGGGAGGGGAATACACGGCCCGGAGAGTCCCGCGGCCGAAACCGCGCGGAGTGGTTCGCACTTCAAAACCGTCATCGCCGCCGTTATAATATTACAATAACACGCGCGCAGCACACCTATTATATTCCATCGTGATGATGATGCGCGGTTACCGTCGAGTGTTCTTCCGTATGTATACGTATACGTATACGTACCTATACGTATCATTATTATTGTAACGCACAATATTTTGTCGTGTTTTCTTAACCCCGAGAGGAACGTGCTTCGTTTTTATAAAAAACAAAAAAAACAAAACATAATACGCACCTATATATACGGCAACAATGGCCGCGACCCGTCGATACCGTCGTATAATAATACAATATTCCCGGACGGGACGGGCTTTTTTTCCTTTTTTTTTTTTTTTCTTTTTAATAATATAATATATTTAACTCTCGAGTGGCCTTCCGCGACCCTGCGGTATTAGTACAATATAACGATATTACAATATTATCGTATGTTTATTTAATATCGTATTATAATATATAATATCGTATCCCCCATCGCGCGCCCCATCACAGACATTTCGGACTGTATGATATGTATTATGACTATAATAGTAACATTATAAAATTGCGCAATTTTAACGCCATCTACATATCTTCTTCTTTGCGTGTCGGCTAGTGAAATCGGCGATTTCAATTGCATTGTTTTTTCAATCGTTTTCCCAAAACATCGGCCTTTCCTCTTGCATTGGCTAGCAGGAGTAAGAGATCGCGTCTAATTTGACGCACTTTTTTTTTCTTCGAATTCATTTTTCGTCGGTTCTTATTTTCAATATTGATATAAAATGCGATAACGCCGATAACTAATATGAAATATACGAGATAAGTGATATGTGACATAAGAAAGTGATAAAATAAAAAGGTGTCACAGACAGATGGATCTGGGCTTTTATATTTTAGATTTTTGTTGTTCGACCGCTAAAATGTCTCGTGGTACCGAGACTTTAATAAACCGATCACAAAATAAGACATTCGAACACGTTGAAATCTATTTGATACTTTTATCTACCAGTTTTTTCCCATGGACTTTCGTATAGCTCTTCTCCCCGAACTCAAAACACCTTTAAATTTTCATCAAAAATACTGGCGTTCATCAAGGCATCATTGCTTGGAAACAATCGGACATTATTACGTAGACAATTATTTTTATTCGGATTTTACAATAAATTAAAAAATTCTTAGATGTATTAACCAATATAATGTAGATTTACCAAAATATTTATAATTACGACTGCAAATTGCAAAGTAACTTTTTAAGCCTGTCAATCTAAGTGCGCAGTCTTAGTATGAATAGAGATAATGTTTGTCTTAATGTTAACATAGCAACAAATCCGATCAATAGAAAAAAAGTTGCAAATACAACATCCATGCCCTAGTTATTACTTATTAGTTTATTACTGTATAGTACAATTTATTACGAGGTTCGTACGTCCATGTGCAAAATGTATCCTCGCGATCAAAGTGCGAGAATTCAATGTACGATACACGCACTCCTCTCGAGATTGTCTCGTCACAAGATTAAAAAGCATCGCATCTTACATATTACATATTATAATATAACATACATAGTGATGTTGATCATATTATAATATAATGACGTGAACACGATATGTATCGGTAGACAGCGTGTATACAGGGCGAGCGTTTCGTCCGTTGGCCGAGTGATATTATTTTTCATATAATAAATAATATAATATGGTTTTACGACAATACGCATACGTTTGAGCGCGACCGTTAAAAAGTTTGAAGTCGAGTCAATTAAAACATTTAACGTTGCTGTTAAATTGTTACTTTTTTTTTTATTGTTATTATTACTTGACTATACGTGTATATATTTTAAAAATGTATTCATATATACTCGTACCTACATAATATACAGTTTATACAAACTAAATCGTCCTATATATATTTATATGCCTTCCTTAGAGCAGTGGCCATGACATTTTTTTTTTTTAAAAGAATTTGAGTGTAGCGAACAAGCTATGATAAATGTTACTAAAATGTTCTTTTTTTTTACGCCGAAAACGCTCTTTTGCGGGTTGATAAAATTGTGTTTATTATTCACGATACACTATAAAAGATACGGATGTTTACTCGGTGGTAAATACTTTGAAATAGATGTCTAGCTTTCTCACTGTTACCTAAAAATCAAAAAACAAAAAAAACTTACAAGAAATGTTAATGCGTTTATTTATTTCCGTCGATTTCTGTGTTATCTATAGGCTGGGAAAACATAATAACAATATGACCTACAATACAACTACTACTTATATAACATAACCGCTTTTACCAAGCTGTGCGGCTTAGAATCGTTTTTTAATCACGATGATTATTATCGATGATATGAATAACAAGTGCAAAGCGTGCACGAAGCATTTTGTAAAATGTATACACGTAATATTATTCGTAACTTTGGATTCTTCGCAACGGAAACACTCGGTATATTATGTAGGTATGTACTATATATATATATGTATACATGTTGTAATTATATTTGGAGCGCAGACGGCATTTTATTATGTAGGCGATGCGGTAAAACACACTGTATGAAACACAGACGAACGGTAGGAGAAGGGAGGGTATAATAAAATATTATTATGTGTACCGGCGGCGTGTTAAATATTTTGTTTAAAAGCCGTACGCGAACGGTAATTGGACCGTTTGAACGAGCAAATGGAACGCGCGTAAGCCAATTACATTATCGTTTCGCTTTTGCGCAACCCCGCGGCAGTGGCGGCGGCGGGTAGAGGCAGGCGCGAAAATTCAATTTTGCCGTTCATCTCGCGCGCAAAGTCGACCCGAAGTGCGAAAACAATAATCGCATTTCACGCGTATGTTCCCGTCTCGTCTGTTGTAGGTAGGTACCTTGTATTGTTGTGTACGCTGAAAAAATATGAATACTCGTCGACGCGCAGTCCAAAATTATGATAAAAACGAAAATAAAAGATTGTATTATGCCAACTGAAAACGAAAACCGAAAATCTACCGTCTAAACCTGATAAATACCGCTCCAGAAATCTGACTTGGGTGGATGGTACTTTTTATGGAGGTAATTTTTTGATTTTTCTCCCGGAGTTTTTCCAATAAATGCGGAAAACCGGAAAAAAACATGGGAAAACCGTAGGAAAAACAGGAAAATAGATACAATATTAAACAAATATTATTAAATAAAATATATAATGTTATTATTTGACTGTAATATCGCATAAATATTGTTGACAAAGCTGCACTATATCAATTTAACTCCGCTCAGAATCGTTTTTTCGTTAGCAAAGTTGTATCGTTGCTTACAGATATATATTGAATTTCCTTTCTACTACCTTCCCAACTTCTCACCTACAACAGTGGCTGCACCCACGTATGAAGTTAATCTGCTTTTTACTGGTTTACGTGTTATTATCATTTACCGTTATTTCAACCTAGTAAATAAATTATGTAAACAATACCATTCAAGATAACAAATACGAGGTTTTCTTCTACTAAAAATAAAGAACGCGCGAATACTGCTGATGTGTGTGACACTGTTGCACTTATAGGTGGAAATTCGGTACTGTAGGATACATAAAGTTATTTAATTTATACTGGGCGAAATGTTAAAAGTTTCTTTTCTTGAATTTGGAGAAAGATTTCTGGAAGAAAATTAAAATTGAAAAAAAACTTCTTTATATACGTTCTTCCTATATGTTTTTTTTCCCGATTTTACTCTGATTATTATGAAAACTAAAAAACGACGGATATACTTCACACGACGTGTGGGCTACTGTTGTAGGTGAGCAGTTAGGAAGGTAGGATATAGAAAGGAATTTAAATTATATCTGTCCGCAACGATTAACCATTGCTAACGAAAAACTATTCGGAGTAAAGTTTCTTCTATACGTGTACTTACATTTTCCTGATTTTTCCAACTATTATGAAAACCGTTAAAAAAATGACTTCTCCAAATCACCAACTAGTGTCCCCTAGGTTTATTTAGGTTCTAGGTTAGGTTAGGAAACTAATAACTAGAAACTTCGGATGTAAAAACCCATAACAATTTTCAAACCAAGTAAATATTGAAGTATTTTACATAATAATAACTAATATGTTTATTATATAATGATATAAATTTAAAACTATAAAACTGATTATAATATTATTGTTTTTCAAGTACGTGAAAATCGAATTACACAATCCCGGTCGACGAAGTCTCGCGCCTATTAAACTAATAAAAAATATTATACCGTGCATGACGATCACACACGCCTTATGCTATAATAATATCATGCAAACAACCATACCTGCAATGGCAATGATGATATAGTATTGATAGGAACACAATATCACAAGTGTACAAAACGGTAATATGTTTGGTTTTCCGTGCGCGTGTTTACCAATGTGGTCGTTGGTACCGCGCGTTGAGAATAAAAAAATGTTTTGCGGGCGTGGCCACAGACCAGCTAGGGAGCGTTTTATTATTATGCATAACTCGGAAAAAGGACACGGCGGTGTATATTATTTCGATCGATGTTCGTGCTGTTTGATACACAACCGATAAAATATAACAGAAATGTGTGTACATATTATACAGTAAGTTGTCGTGCGAAATCGATAAGTACTCTGGCGCAACTAGCGGTTGAGTTGCAGGTAAAATGAACTGAAATTGGGAGTCCCGATATTATGAGGGTATCAAATAATCGAGTGGTGACAATCATTAGCGAAACTAGACGATTTTATTAGGACAGGCCAAATTAAAAATATGACAACACATGCTAATTACAACTTATTACTCTACGGGGGAAGTTATTGATCATAATACACCTGTAACGGAAAAAAACTAACTATTACTTGACATAACATAAAAATAAACGTCAAATTATTTTTATATGATTGAATTTCAGGTAATTATATCAAACCGGCATCTACAGTAGGTATTAACGTATTACCCATGCATCAGTGGCGTATTTGACTTAGTATGGGGGAGAGAGGGGCGACACTGAAATTATTATACACAAGCTTATATTCTATCCTAATGATCTTTCATGTATACCTATGTATATTTTTTAAACAAAATATATTAGGCATTTTAGATGCGGAAATTAAGTTTTTAATTTAGAATTCTATTATTATTATTTTTTTTTTATATATAATTTCGTCGTCTAATAGTTGGTAATATTTGTAATAACTGGGCGAAACCGGTTTAAAAAAAATATTATCATGCCTAACGTATTACATGAATAATATTAATAAAGAAAACTTGTGGACTCCTACTTGGGATTCCGTCTAGATTAGGTACTGAAGTACTTTCTATTGAAGTCGTGACTCAAAACTGTTTTGTATTTATTTTCGAAAAAATTATATACTTCAAAATGTTTGTAAATTTTTAGTTTACATCATTTTTTCCTTTTTTAAATTGCTTACCAGTGAACTATAATCTTATTATAATAATAATAATAATCTGATCTAAACTAAGTTAAAATATTATTAAAAATGTAAAACCTTTAATGAGTAAGTAAAGAGAACAGGACATTTTTTTTATTCTCAATCATTGATACTGTACACAAAACACAACGAATTTGGGTTACCAATAAATAGCTATAATAAGTCATATAAGACTTAAAAATATAGAAGGGCATATATTACTATGCATGATTCTAGTAAATTTGAAATGTCGATGATCAAAACGTGTTTAAGGCGGATTGAGGACGCAATACACTAATTTCATAAGCAATCGCAAGTTTTCAATAACCTATTAAGGAATTCCAGAGGAATATTTACGATTTTGGTGATAAAATTAAACAAATTGATTGGCATCCTTTATTTTCCGAAAATCCTTTTTCACTCATCAGCGCATATAAAGGTATTTAACCCCCGACAAATCTTTTAAGGTCTCTTGATTTAGAAAATGTGTACTTTATTGCCATTCAAAATTTATGGCAGCGAATTTTGCAAATATATATGCACTCAAAACGGGTTCTCATTATAATACACTTGATATGACGTACCTTTCTACTTAACAAAATATTTGGCTGATGAACGCATGCACGTTAAACGTATGGCTCGTTTCGTTTGTCAACTCGAGTGCGAGCTTTTAATCGAAAATAAACCTAAAAATGTTAACAAAACCCCGTCAAGTAATATACGAGGTGTGGCTATTAAATAACGAGACTGGTTACGAAAAAGTGTTTTATTATAAGTTATTCTACATTCAAATGCTCCCCTTCAATGTACACTCCTCCCCTCGCCACACACCGTTTCATTCGTTTCTTCCATTGCTCGAGGATGTGCTGGAAGTCTGTTTTCGTAAGACCATTCAGGAGTTTCGCCGATTTTTGTTTCACCTCTTCCATCGACTCAAACCGGATTCCTTTTAAGGCAGACTTTATCTTCGGAAACAAGTAAAAGTCGCAGGGTGCCAAGTCGGGTAAGTAAGACGCGTGTTCGAGTACTGGAATGCCTTAAGCGGCCAAATAACGCTTCACGCTTTATCCTGGTGCAAGATCCACGACTTGTTTTCCCACAATATCAACCGTTTCTTACGAACTCATTCGCGCAATTTTGCCAAAACTGTCAAATAGTAATGTTGGTTCACAATTTGACCCTCTGGAACCTATTCAGTCATCACGATGCCGTTGATATCGAAGAAAACGGTTTTGAATTTGGATTACGACTGAATTGGATTCCGGTGCACTCTCGACCTTCAGAAAATAATTTATGCCACTCAAAAANGCCCGAGATAGGAAATCCTCACTATAGGCCTTTTTTAACAACTTATAGCACTCAGTTGGAGTTTTTTTTAGTTTAACGAGAAAATTTTACGTTTATCCGTTGCTCGTGTTTTTCGTCACACATGGTTTTCAGCACGAGAAAAAAACACGTTCGTTTCAAACCACTACTGCACAAATACTATAATAGTTACGAAAACGTGTTTTGGTACGTGCATAGATAAGATATCTAGATACCAAACGCATTACCCGTTTTTTTCACTACCCCTCTAGGGCCCCCTCTAGGCGAGAAGTCTCGTTATTTAATAGCCATACCTCGTATAAGTACTTAACCCGGATTTCCAAAATTTCCCATTTTCAGCTTTAAATACCTAAGTTTTCACTGTGAATTACTTATTATAATCGCCTATCTTCGTATATTTTTCGTTGCAAAAACTACCCATTATTACACGATTTATTTATTTGCATTAAATTGTTTTTTTTTGCAGTAGTATTTCAATACATTTAATACATTTATATATATTACATTATATTTATTTATAATTTTTTAACTATGTAACTTTCCGATTTTCGAAAAATATTATTATTATTACTTTTTAGTCTATCTAAAGAATTTAAAATAATAGGTTTTTTTCTGTATACGTAATAAAAATTTCAAAATCTTTTATTCTATTTATATTAAACGCAATTTTTAAATAGAAATTAAGTATACAATTTAAATTATTACTAACAGCGAAACGTAATTATACATTTTACGAGTTATATATGACAACATTATACGTATTATACTCATATGAATACAATAATATAATTTTACATTTTTATTTTAGGTTAGAAAGAAGTTTAAACGTGAATATATACGATTAATATAACCGTAATTAATTATTTATTAATAAATGCTCGTATAAAAAAAGGAGTTAAAAATTTGATCATAATAATATTATAGTATTATAATTTATAATAATAGTAACCTTGAAAAGTATTGATTTTTCCGTAAACGAGGACAGAATATTACATATTATATTTACTGAAACTTACTTGTATAATAATAACGATTAAATTTATTCACGAATATTTATGCATAAAACGACTCACATAATATTAAATTAATATTATCGCATATTATTAAAGATGTTGGTGTATAAACTATAGGGAGTAGTTATTGTTTACCTATATTATAATCTATTTAAACTAACCCATTAAATTAGTATTCTTTTTCGAGTATAATTAAAAAGAAATACTAAATAGTCATACACTTGAATAACCAATGAAATATCTTTGATGTCAGGGAAGAAGAACTTAAGTTAATTTTCGGAATTTTTTTTTTTGTAATTTCCACTTATGTATTTTAAATATTCAAATTGTTTGTTTTGATAACCATACAAATTTGACTTAAGCCAATAAAGATAATCTAATATGATTGAAAATTACACAACCAAAATATTTAAATATTGTTCGACAATATTCAATTTTCAATACAATAATTTAAATGCTAATTGTTAATTTTAAATATATAACCACAAGTACAGGTATTTTGAATAATTATAAATCGTTGTTATCAGTATACACCTATATTGTGTTTTCAAAGTTCAAAAACTCTAATAAATACAATAAATGTAATGTATAAGTTGTTATGAGAATGTCAGCGGGTAGTATAAAATTGTATAGGTACGAATTATTACAATCGTACAGTTAATATTTTTTTCTCGGTTATTAATATTAGTATAATATTATGAAAAATAAATAAATTATTATGACAACCACCCTGGGGCGTTTAATTTGGATTGCTCGTTTAACAACGCTATTGGTACCTATATACTAATAAAGTATTATTTATTGCTATACACAAAGTGTACTGTGGGCTATGGATAAACCTGCTTAATTATTACACTATAGGGACAAGGAATCACAATCGTTTTTCCGTTTTAGAATTTATATGATGATCGTTTAATGGCAGCAGAGCACGGGGTCTACTAGAATTATTGAGTGAAACGATTTCTTATATTATGACGATACTCGTCATAATATCCGAATAATAGTCTCCGAATTATCTCAATATTCTATCCATATTTTTTTTATTGTTTTAGACTATAATACTACGTCATGACTAAACCTGTAAGGGTTATACATACATAAGTCGATGTATAAAGCGTGCTTCATTATTATTACTATTACTAGCGTTATTATACATAATATTATATTGACCACCCTAATACACTTGAATTATGATGACTCACGAAAACTTAAAAATAACACGCAATGAGTGAATCATAGTGTACCTATTGATATTAGGCTGTATGTAGGCACAGCTATGTGTACAAACAATTTGATTATATTATAATATATCTACACAGTTTCTACTTGGTTAGCTAATATTCCATATTGATTTTAGTTAAAATTGTATTATTTTTGTTGTCAACGAATATTACAAAATATAGGTATTACCTACGGATTTATTAAATTGTATCTATGTGTGGTGGGTACTTACTAATAGCATACCTAATTCTAATAACTGTGGCAACACTGCGTAATACAAAAACGCGCTAAACTATAGTTATATAGGAGTACTGAACTTATTAGTGTTCAATATAAGTTTGTTTTGAAAACAATTTTAAAAAATTATACCAAAATATTTAACTACCCCCTTAGCTACATAGGTATAGGGAATAGTCTTTTTCTTAAAAAAAAAATAATTTGGATACAATTATTTTGCATTCGTAATGAATTACCGAACCCAATAGTCATGCTATATTCATAGGATTATGTGAATAATACGGTCTAAATTATACATTTAATTATATTTTAACTTAAAAAAAATAAATATGTATTTATTCGTGTAAACTAAAAAAACAACTATAGGTAAAAAAAAACTCGATGCTATTACAGATACAAAAATACCCGTTTATAATTTGTAGACAATAAATATACGTAACAAACATTCTAAAAAAATAATAATAATAATAAAAATCAATAGGTATACTCACCGCGTATTATTATTGTTATTATACTTCTCGTTTGCAAATATTACGCGCCCGTTGGAAACATCGCGTCCTGCCGAGTGTGGGCACGAAGAAAGAAAATCAATAATTCGCGCGTGCGTTCGATTCGTTAAACAAATTCGGATTAGAATGCCGGACTGTATAATATAATCAAACTTTTATTCAAATCGAGACCGTGAGATCCGACACCGAATGAGTATAAATGTATAATACAGGAAATAACGGTGGACCGTATAGGAAATGCAAGGGAACGAACCGCGCTCGTAGCACACACCGCAGTCGTACGTTACGGCCCGTGTGCAGGGTACACACCTGTTCGTAAAATCGATAATAACCAACGAACGAAATCCGGGTCCGGGGATTTTTTTGCGCGATTTCGTCGTTTCGTTCGTGACACGGCCGACCGACCGAAATCAACGGGTCGTTTGCCGTTGCAAGTGCGACTTTTTCGATGAAAATCGCACAGCATTGCGTGCCGCCCACGATTTTCGGACGGCCGCGAGAACGGAATGGTCCGACAATCCGGTCAATACTTCTCGGTACCCGACTATAGTGTCGCCATCTAGCGTTGCGCGTGCGATCGTTTTGACGTGTGCGGCGCGCACGTATATTTACGGCAGATCGAAACAATAATATTTCGGTAAATGACACGCTGCCTGTATAGATAATAATTACAATACATTGATAGACTTATGTATAAAATGTATTTCGCAGCTCCTGTTCGGAAATATTATAATAATTTATAGTTACGTTTTTTCGCGTCATCAAAAATCGATTTTATTTCAATACAATCGCGTAAAATCAATCCGATAGCATTGTTATAGAAGACCGACTGCAACGAAAACGGGACTTTTTTAATGCATGATTATAATATACTCTCGCCGTTGATAAATACAAATTCGCTTGTAAATTCGGCCGATTTGTTTCTCCGTCGGGTCTTGCGTGTAACGGCAGCGTATTTAGAGCTAGGAGATTAAGGAGATATACCTACCTATCAATGCTCTTCCGATGAACTTTTCTTTTTCTGTGTATATTTTTTTCAATATATGACTTTCTATTTTTCAATTACCTTTTTTTTTTTATTTTCCAGTCAGATAAAATCAAATATATATTATGTATTCACGTACAATTATTGTAATCATAAATTAACTATATAGATACAGGTACCGACTAATATATAGTTGCGATTATGTAGTTATTTGATTTCAATTTTAATTTCGGGGCAGATCGAATTGTATATAAATTATAAATTTATTGCGTTGTTTTAAATCTTTACTCTTTACAAATACGCGAGTTATACAAAAATGAAAATAATATTCAAATTCAATATTTCTCTGTTAGACCAAACCATGTCCTAAACACGCCCACTAGTGTGAGGTGTTGACATTTTTTTAAAATAGTAAAATCCAATCGTAAAACGATTGTACCGTGTCAAACGATATTACGATTTTCAAGGTGATGTTTATAATATATTTCGTATAATTTACACAATAGGTACCTATGTTATTATTTGAGCCTGTCGCGATCGTGCCCGACCGCACTCAATATTTTCTACGTTACATTAAAATAATCACTGTACTACCCACCTATAGAAACACAATAACACATTAGTTTAATATTGTGTCTAACATACCCACCCACATACATTCTGGAACCATATTAAAATAGTCGTGAACATATCACTATGTTATAATAATACTGTGTACATAGTAAAACAAATCAAAACTATACAATCGTATAACAAATTGCATTGCTTAACAAATAATAAAATATATCAATTTAAATTGTTTGTATGAACGATTATCGTGTAAATTAAAATCATTTTCAACCGAATAAATAAAATGGATATTGGATAAATTTAAAATCGTTTATAATTGTGTGTGATCGATATAATAATAGGTATTATAGCTATATTATATAAGTATAGTATTAGCCATTAGGTAAAATATAGGCAGTACCGGCCCTAGGGGGGGGGGCAAGCGGACATATTTTATTAGTAGAGTTAGAATGTTGATGATTTGCATTTGTTTTTTCTTTGATTCTAATAATACAATTCTATCTTAGCTAAAAGTCCGTTTCATGTTTTCTTAATTCAGAATATTCTTATTTTATTTTGCATTTTTAAATATAAATGCATTTTTTTTTGTATATAGCGTCATTTTTATGTGTTTTTTAGGTCATCAACATTCTAACTCTATTTATCATCATGGAACATTCTATTGCCGATTCTTTGAACTACAATGAGACAATTGAACTGTTTGCATAAAACAAAAGCACGAATTGCTTTGTCAACAAAACCTCTGTCATATTATGGTAAAATGATTACAACGATGTGTGTTTCCATGAGACCAATTATTGCTTAACAAATATTAAAATAATAAAAATTTAATAATAAAAAATAATTAAAAACGGTTTCCAATGATAACCTTATTTTAGATTCTGAGTGGAGCGAAGTTTTATAAAGATGTTTATTTTTTTTATTTATCTGTGAATACTGACTATTAATATTTATAGTTGAATAGTAGTGTTAGGTTCATTAGGTTAAGTGTTATTCGATCATAAAATATTTTGTTAAATTATTTTAAATAACTAATTAAAATACATACTTGTAATTTGTGTATTTATTTAAAAATAATTTATAATCAATTCGAATTACTATTATTACACTAAATTCGAATTATTTCAAAGAAGTTTGAATTTCCCATATATTTCAATGTTATAATATCTTTGGAAAAAAAACATGTGTTATTCTTTTTGTTTTGATTTTGGTTTTTTTTTCCGCAGTTGCGTCAGGTATAGAAAATCGTTAATTCCTCGTTGCCTACTGATAAAACACATTAAATAGATTATGTCAGTGTTTTGAAGTTAAATGACTCAAATGTGAATTTTTACCGAAGATTACTTTGTGTTTATTTGTGTGGATAGAGAATTTGAAAAACACTTGGCCGATTCATTGAACATTGTACCGTCAATAGTATTAACGTTTACATTTAAGGTATGTTTTATAATAATTTATTATTTATGTTAATGTTTAAATATTCAACATTAAGTTCATTAAAGATAGATATGTATAATATTATAGTTTTGATGATGCTCATAATTTATCAAATAAACACCAATATTCGCATTATTGAATGTTTTATAAAACTAACCAATTATTCTAATGAACTTCTATTTTATGTAGGTATTAATGATATGTATTTTACCTGATATTGTTTACATTTTGTAAAAAAAAAATAATATTTTACATAATTTGTCTAGGTACCTATGTTTTATTTTTCGGATTGTTAACTGTAAATTGATTAGTGATTCTAAATTTCACAGAAGCTACCCGAGTTTTGTACTAAATTAAACAATTTTACAATTCACGTTTATAGATTATTTACCTAACATAAATAAACACATAATTAATACTTATTAGAATAGGTAGTATATTTTATATTGACTTATTTCAGTTATAATTCATTATACCTAGTCAAGTAGGTAGTTATTTAGTTGTAGAATTTTTAAATTAAATTTGTTTGACTTTGTGAATTATTTTTTGTTGATTAAGTACCCAGTATCTATTGTATTTCCCTATTAAACATCTTTTAATTATTTTGTTTATCATATTTCCAAAATTATAAATTGAATACCTTGGGTTACAAACAGTTTTACTATTCTCATCTTTAATTAGTTTATGTATCATTATTGCTCATTACTATATATTTGATATAGATTGGAATGATTTTATAGGTGTAAAAAAGTATTGTCAGTTCTCCCTTTTCAATGTATTAATTTAAAAATAATAAAACTGCATATATGGCTTTGAAACTAACCATCAACCTACTTAAAAAGAAATTTATTATAAAAATCAGTCTATGTAGGTTGGTTATATCCAAATAAGCAAACCTGTTTAGAACCTCTCACTCATATCTTCTGAATCTTTACATTGGATATTTATGTGTACAGTGCATTTAGTTGTAAAGTTTAAATCTACCCACACAAACTTGTGCATCATTTTTGCAGTATTATACAAGTACACCCTAAAAAATAAATTTTCATAAATTCATTTTGTTGAAACTTAATATAATTCTGAATAACAAATTGACAGTTTAAAAATTATAATGAGGGCAATTTATCAATTAGTTTTATGTTTATATGATAATTTCTACAAAAATATATGTACATTATGAAAGAAAATTTTGTCTAGTTTGTGAGTATAAATGAGTATAAATTATGATAGAGACCTTTACTTTTCATAAAATATTATAATATTAATAATATTGATAATATTGATCTTTTGTTAGACGTAAAAATTTTAAAACATTATAACTCATTTTAGGATATTTATAGGTATTTGATATTTTTATGTTTTTATATGTTATTTTATTTGACAGACATCTGTTATTAGAATATGGTACTTAAGTAGTATTAAAAGAAAACCATTCTAGATATTGTATGTTCTATTATGTTGAATATGTTATGTTATATATATTGATAGTTTATAGGTTACTGGTTTAAAAATATAAAATTAATATCAATGGATATCTATCTGAATAGGTAATTTAGATTTTTTTTTACATCTATTTCAAATATTGAAAAATATATCCATATAACATATTTAAAATCTATGTACAAAAAGTAAAAAAAAAAAATTAAAAATTACTGCAGAATTTTAGTATTTATAGCAATTTTTAATTTTTAGGTTAGATGTTAGTGTTTACCTTTAATGAATAAAAAATATTTGTTTATAGATAAACTTGAATAATATTATGTTATATACCTAAATTAATTCATAAAACACATCTTTTAAATATTCAAAATAAATATTTTATTTTATCTAGCACATTAATGAACTAAAGAAACATCCATCAAATTAAACCTTGATTATTATTATCCTTTATAATTTATGGAATAATGACTGCCGAAGAAGACACTTCATATACAAAGTTACCCATTGAGGAACGATGTGTACATAAAGTAATTATATTTTTTACTCTGATAATATTTATTTAATGTAGTTTTAACAGCATTTTCAATAACTGAAAAAGTAAATTTTGTATTTTGTAAAAATACCTAATAAATGGCTATTGGTAAAACTGGTATTGTCACAAATGTAATATTGGTAATCTAAGCTTAAAGCTTATTGTCAATCATTGATTAATATTAGAAGTTAATCGAAGAGCCGGAGAAACAAGAAGCTTTCTGAAAACCTTAAAAACAAAAAGAGTAATTGGATACATTAACAGTTTACTTAGCAGAATAATAGAAGGTGCCATTGATAGAAATAATAGCAGGGGGCGACTATCACTGGACTACATTAGTCAAACAGTAAGAGATATGGACTGTATATTGTATTGTGAATCACAAAGGAAAATGAAGAAATGTTGGGAGTGGAAAATTACTGCCAACCAGCGTTTGGGTTGTTAACAAAAGGGGGGAGGATTAATATTAATATTTACGTAGTATTTCAGTTATTTTAAATTTAATTATGAACTAAAATAATATTAAAATTGTTTATGTTTGTTATCTTTCTTTCAAGTTATGGAAAGCTAGAATAAGTGGTTATGAAGAAGCTATAAAATTATTTGGACAATTGGATGAAAAAGCTCCTGAATGGAACAAATTTACTGGAATAGTTAAGAAATTTGTTATTGACAGTAATGCAGTTGCACAGGAAAAAGGTCTTGTAGCCACATTGGTTTTTGTGGAAAACTCTGCTACTGCTGGACGGTTTGTTGATCATTATCTTCTTATTTTAAGTATAAATTATAATTTAATTTTTCATATTAATTTAGTACGGTAGGGGATGTTATGACTGGATTGATAACAAAATGTTATGGCGCACCAAAAGCAAAAACTAAAGATATTGCTATACAAATAACATTAATGTTTATTGAAATTGAGAAGCAAGATATAGTAATTGAGGAATTAATTAAAGGAATGGATCATAAATTTCCTAAAATTGTTTCTACTTGTATTAAAGCTTCAACACAAGCAATAAAGTATGTAAAAAATGTAAAGAAATATTTGTACAACATCATGTTATATATTTATTGGATTTATATATAATAATAATAATGATATTTTAATTTAATACAGAGAATTTGGTTCGAAAGTTTTGAATATTAAGCCACTGTTGAAAAAACTACAGTCAATACTAGAAGATAGGGATAAAAGTGTTAGAGATGAAGCAAAATTGTTGGCAATAGAAATTTATTCATGGATTGGGCCTACACCAGTGAAAGCTAATTTAGCTAATTTAAAACCTTTACAAGTATACATATTACTCTTTTACAATACTATAATACTTTATTTTAATACATATATTTATTAGATTCAAGAATTAGAAGCAGAATTTGAAAAAGTAAGTGGGGATAAACCACGACCTACACGTTATTTACGTTCTCAACAAGAACAAGCCGCTAAAATGGAAGAAGTAGTAACTGCGAATGGAGGTAAATTTGCAAAATAATTATAACAAGTGAGCTAAATTAATGAACAAATTTAAATAATAGATGTGGTATTGGAAGAAGCTGTTGACGAGGTTGACGATCCTGAAGAACATATTGATCCAGTTAACATACTTTGTCAGCTTAATAAAGACTTTTATGAAAAGCTTGAAGCAAAAAAATGGCAAGAACGTAAAGAGGCTATTGATATGCTTGAAGGAATATTATCTAAAGCTCCAAAATTAGAAAGTGGGGAATATGGAGATTTAGTGAGAGCTTTAAAAAAAGTAAAACATTTTTTTAGTTAGTTAATTAATTCTGAATTTGTAGTATAATTAATTATTTTATTTTTGTTTCATAGATAATTACCAAAGATACAAATGTTATAATAGTGGGAATTGCTGCCAAATGTATGGCCATGTTGGCTAATGGATTAAAAAAACGATTTGAAACTTATGCTTCTGCTTGCATACCAGGACTATTAGAAAAATTTAAGGAAAAGAAACAAAATGTGGTTTTACCCCTACGGGATGCTGTTGATGCCATATACTTAAGTGTAAATAAAAATTTGATTTATTATTATTATTATTATAAATTGTACATTAAATATAATTCTTAATAATTTTAGATGACACTTGAATCTATTCATGAAGATATTTTGGCTGCAATAGACAATAAAAATCCATCAGTAAAAGCTGAATCAGTATCATTTTTAGCTCGATGTTTCACAAAATGTACACCAACAATTTTAAACAAAAAATATTTGAAAATTTTTACTACTGCATTAATAAAAACATTAAATGAATCAGGTAATTTTCGTTTTTAATGTACAACGATTAGACAATAAGACCATACCTAAACAAAAGTATCAACCACTAAAATTGTTTAAAAATATATTTTTTAATGGCTATTTTTAATTTTATGTTAATTCAGTAAAAGAAAAAAATTTCCATTATAGTAGTGCAGATTTATTATTTAAATATATATATATTTAGTATATGTAATATATGTATATATTACAAATTTTAAATAAAACAATAGTTAGTTCAAGTGTCAGATCATTGTGCGACACTGTATAACCATAATATAATAACCTAGTTTGTTTTCCTCTTATATCTTTATAGTCTCTAAGTATATATTTTTTTACCATCAAGTCATTATTCAATATGATGATTTAATCATGGGTTTTTATTTTTTGTATCATTTAATATTTAATTGGAGAAATATATATTTACCATACAAAATATAATATAATGGATGCATAGGGTTCCAAATTATACCTTTTGATACAACATGTTTAGCTAATATTGAAACGGCACAAAATGCTTCTTGACCGGTCGGTATTATTTCACTTCTGGACAACTTAAAACCATTCTGACCTGTATCTCGTAGTTCCAGTGTAAATGCATATTTAACTTTTGCTGTTCCTTTTATCCAATCAATTGATGTTCCTATACAATTATTATTTAGTAAATAATCATACCTTAATTACTAAAATTACTAATGGATTAAACCTGATAAATTTTTTTGCATAATAGTATTTACTGAGCCAACATTGTAAGTTTTAGAAGTTTTCTTAAATATTTCTTGTGCCATAGATGTAGCTATTTCAAAATGATCATTGTGGTCTTCTAAACGTGCATTAGTGTATGCCCAAGGGTACATAATAGATTGTCCATATGCATGGAGTGATATAAATCCCTATTTATAATGTGATTTATATTAATAGAAATATTGATAACTCAAAAATACAACTGAATGTTAATTATATACGAAATATCAAATAGGTTGTTCTGTAATATATTAGTAGCTTATTTATTTTTAATATTGTAAGAGGTTGTAAATTTATAAAACCATACATGAAACATTACATATTCATTGATATTCATATACTGATTTTTATAAATCGTTAATTGTATTTTTTAATATAATAATTGTATATTTAAAAAAAAACAAATAAAACACGTTGAAAATCATTCAAATTAATGTATTTGAATTCAATTTTTTCTATCAAATTTATTTAAGATATGATAATGATTTCATTGTGAATCAATTCTTTTTAATATATAATAATCTATGTATAGTCTATACTTATTAAGTGGTCATATTTCATACAGCGTATTAACATGATTTATTAAAACATTTGTTTATGTAATTATATATGTATGGTGATGAAATTGTATACAATTAAGTTTTGTTCTGAAACTTACACACTATACATATATTTAGACTTACCTTTATATCATCTACATTTTTTTCAATAAATTTGATAATTGCTTTTATTTCTAATTCTGAATTTGGAACTGGTCCTCTATACACATCTGAACAAGAATTCTTTTCAGAGTTAGTACTGTTCCAATCATAATCCCAGTTACGATTTAAATCTATTCCTATACAATCTTTGTTCTCAGTTTCAGCATAATTTTTCCTCCACATTCTATCCTTTTCATGTGCATATGCATATCTAAATAATTATATTTTAATGTCAGAAAATGTCATGTTTTTATTGCTGACAATTTTAAGGCCCCTAAATGAATAAATTAATAATTTGCATATATAACTACCCGTCTGGATTTACAATTGGCATTAAAACAAAATGTATATTTCTCATATATTTTGGCAAATTGTATCTATTATTTATCAATTCGTTTGCTATGTAAATCATAGAAGATATTGTAATCCATTCTCTTGCATGAATGCCTATTTTAAGTATACTAAATTATACAGATTTTCTGTAGCTATTTAATTAACAAGTGATGTTTACAGATTTACCTCCATCAATCCAAATCATATTTTTGTTAGTAAGGTTTTTATCTGGTTTTATGTGTATGGTTTTTAAAGGAGTTCCTCGTTTAGTATATCCAATATTAATAATGTCTATAAAATCAAATCCTTGATTTTGTAAATTTTCAAGAAATTCGTAAATTTCATTTGTTGTATAAAATTCCTTTAACATTAGCGGAATTTCCTAAAATGTTAAAATAAATTGTTAATTCTTATTTTTGCTTTAAAAAAAAAATTATTGATTATTTTGTGATTTAGAAAGAAATAAAATGTGTTCTTTTTTCCGTTTCATATTGAAGTAATATTTCTTTTTACTTTATCAATAATTATTATATTTTTCTGTTTTTTTAAGATTTAAAATTTAACTTGACTAAATCTAAATAGGTAAATCTCATACAGTCAGAACTTACATTTACCATTGGTTTTAAAGCAAACAAATTCATTTCTTTTTGGTGATTTTTGAAATTAATGTTAAATGTTGAACAGCGTAATATATTTGTCAAACATAGTATACAATATACTAACTTCACACACAATTTCATATTAATAAAAAAAAGAAATTAATTTTTAATAATTTAATAAATAAAAGTTTAACTTATAAATTGGTTTTTCTCCTGTTTATATACATTTCTATGACAACACATTAAACATTTTTATTTTATCTCATTATTCAATAATTTTATTGAGACTATTATAGCAAATTATTCAATATAAAATGTGATAACATATAAAACCCAATATAAGTCATATTTTACTATTTTAGGAAATCCACTACTGAGGTTCAAAGAAAGATTTTTAAATAATTTTTCTTCTTTTTCTTGGGTATTAACAGCCACTAGGACCGCCCTGTTGAACAACCAATCCTCCAAGTCTCTCTGTTAACTGCTTTGTTTTTCAATCTGGGCCTCCATTTAATGACTCTATGTCTCTTTACTATGTCTTCTCATCTTAAACGGGGTCGTCCAAGAGGTATTTTTCCTTCTGGATCCTCTGTCAACACCATGTGCAATAGTGAGTTTTGACCACCCCAGGCGTGACCATCACACTGTAACCAGATTATGTTTAATATTTTTGGATTCTAAAAGAGTAGTTTTTCTAATTCCTTGTTTTTTCTTATTCTCCATCTGGTGGTTTCCTCATCAAAAGATGAGTAAAAACTGGATCAAAGATTTTTCTTAGGATTTTTTCTCCAGAATAATAAGTTTCTTTTACTCCATTTTTCTTAATATCCATGTTTCTGTTTCCTTTGTAATTACAGAGCGTAATAGTGTAATATTTAATTGTATCTTTATTTCTCTCGACAAAGACCGGACTCCAGTATTCTTGTGAGCCTTTAGAGACATTTGTTTCCTGACATGATTCTTGCTGCTACTTCTTTTTGAGTTTTATTTTTTTTTTTCGTTAATACCAAATCTAGGTATTTAATTTGATTGATTCTATTGAATTCATGATTACTCTCTTTTAAGGAAAGAAATATTCTCGTACTATCTCTTCTCCCCACCACCATATATTCTGTTTTTCCATCATTTATTCGCAAACCAACTTTTTTCACTGCCTCCTCCAGTCGGCCAAATAGGGTTCTTAGGTCTTTGTGTGACTTATCCATGAGGACCAAATCGTCTGCATATGCCAATAATGCCACAGTAGACTCGTGTAGTGACACACCCTCTTAGGGTCCAATATTAGTTTCCTTTATAACTTTCTCTAATACTAAGTTAAATAGAATAGGTGACAGAGTTCCCCTGTTATAGGCCTAATTTCATTATTGTTATTTGGTTGGTTTCAGTTTCTCTCACTTTTATTTTAATGAATATTTCTTTAATGTATGTCGATACTAATTTTACTAACTTTTGTGGGAAGTTATACTCTCTAAGAATATTCATCAAACTTTTGTAATGAATACTATTACATGCCTTCTTGAAGAGCATATGCATTTCCTTGTCAAACTTCCATGTCTTTTGAAATAGTTGTCTATGAATAAATATTTGGACCATCATAGATCATCTTAGTCTAAAGCCTCCCTGATAATCGCCAATAATTTGCTCTGATTTAGTTTTTATCCTTGACAAGATACAATTCACAAAAACTTTATTCACAACACTTGGAAGGGCAATCCTACGATAATTATTGCATTATTCCTGTCTGTCCCACTTCTTATGGACTGGACATAGTTATGCTATTTTTCAATTTTCCGGTAACTTTTTGGTAATCTATATTCAGTTAATCAATTTCCACAGCCGGAGCACCATTTCTTCTCCTTTTTTAAGGAGTTCCACATGGATTTGATCCTCGCCAGGTGATTTTTTAGTATATTTATTTGGGAATCTTATCTTTTCTAGCGATGGTTCTTGGCATATTTGTTCTTGTTTTAAATAATTATCAAACGATTTATATTCAATTTCATTTACAGACCCAACTGTCCGAGATCATTCTGCTGAAGCTCTTGGTACTGCATGGAAGGTAGTATCAGAAAAAAATATACTCCCATTTTTAACTGGTGTTGATGCAATAAAACTTGCTAAGGTAAACATAATAAATTATAAATATATTTGAATAGTATATAATATTACTAAGTATTATTGTATTAAGTAATATTAAGTATTATTGTATTATTAAAGTATACAAATTAAAAACTATTTTTTCAGATTAAAGAAGCAGCAGAGAAGGCTGTAATTACTGCAAAACCAACTGTGGTAAAAGAACATGTATTAAAACCGACTAGTGTTTCATCAAGTAATTTAGAAAAAAAAACATCTGCATCTAATAAAACAAATCCTGCTAGAAGAATTCGTACTGCAGTCGCTAATCCTAGCACTAAATCCACTGTTAATAGTAAGGCCAAAAAACCTACAAGTGCTCCTGGTGGTATGTGTATTAAATTTGTTTTTTTTTTTTGTTTGTTTTTTTTTTTTAAATATATGTATTATATACTAGGGGGTCGTAAAGCTTTAACATCAAAAACACTTCCCCCCATTGAAAGTGAAAAAGAAATTGGTGATGATGAACTGGAAGAAATAGCTTTAACGTTTTGTTCGCCTGAAATTTTAAGTGGCATGGTTGATGCAAATTGGAAGACCCGTTTAGCTACTGTACAAGAATTTTCTCAAGTATGTGTTAATTTTTTTTAAACTTACAAAATGTTAAATACTTGATAATTATTTAAAATACAATTATTGTAGATAATTGATCAGATGGAGTCACCTCCAGTTAGCAGTCAAGTATTAATAAAATTATTGAACAAAAAGCCTGGTATTAAAGACAACAACATTCAAATTCAAAAATTGAAGCTCGAGTGTTTAAAGAAAGTTTTTGAAAAATTTCCCACGACGAGGTATTTATTAAGAATATAGAAATAGCTTTGTTTTTATTGTAATTCATATTTTGGTGACTCCATTTATCATTAAATATTTGCAGTACTAGCATGGACTGTTGTATACAAGATGTTTCATCACTATTAGGTGATAATAAAAATGGTAATTTAGCTGGTCAAGTATTGACTACACTTGCTGAGTCAACTAGATTGGATTTGGTATCAAATGCAGTACTAGAATATGCATTTACTGTACAGAAAAATCCTAAAGTTCAAATTGATGCTCTTAATTGGCTTTCTGGTGCCATTTTAGAGTTTGGGTTTATGTAAGTATTTTATGTTTTTTTTCTTTTGTTAAAACTAAAAAATATATTTTTATAATATAGAAAAGTTTTGATTAAATAAAATAATATGATCTTTTAAAAATATATTTACCCATCAACATTATGAAATCTATTCTTAGCTTCATTTATTTTGATTGCTATTTTATTAATTTCAAGGAAAAATATTTCCAAATTTAATAGACAATAATTATTATATTAACTTTCACGCTATCCAGGTCTGAATTAGAGTAAGTAATCTGTTTATTAATTTTTGAAATTTTGATTGATAGATAATATCAGTTTTCAAAATATTTTGAATTGATTAGATATTTGTAATTATTTAAGAATGCTAATAATTAAATATTAGAAATTATAATTTTGAAAGTTTGCCTGAAAGTTATTAATATTATATACATATTATTTTTTAAATTTAGCATTGAACCTAAATCTGTGATGCAAAATATAAAAAAGGCCGTGAGTGCTTCCAACCCTCAAGTAAGATTAGCTGTTATTTCTCTTCTGGGTGTTATGTATCTTTATATGGGACCTCAGTTAAGTCTATTTTTTGAGAATGAAAAACCAACTTTAGTGCAACAAATCAATGCTGAATTTGAAAAGGTATACTAAATAATTTGCATATATTATATTGTAATTTTTAATAAATTTCATATAATAATTATTTTGTTCAATAGCATCAAGGCGAAGTTCCTCCAAAACCAACACGAGGAAAGATAATCGATGGATCTACTGAGTCTTTAGACGTTGCCAGTGATGATGAAAAACCAGCATTTGAAGTTAATATACGAGACATAGTACCAAGAGTTGATATATCTCCTCAGATTACTGATGCTCTAATTAATGAATTATCAGATAAAGATTGGAAAGTAAGTAGAAACAAATCTTTACATTATAAAATACTTATTTAATTCAATTTATTTTTAGGTTCGTTCTGATGCTTTAACCAAATTACAAAATATTATTACCGAAGCTAAATTTATAACAAGCGAACTAGGTGAAGCTAGAAAAGCTTTGCAAGATAGGTATAAAAACCTATAAACTTTTTTTTTATGTTTAAAGACAATTGATGATTAATCTGTTTATTGTTAACTAGAATAAGTGATTCTAATGCTCGTCTTGGTTCAAATGCAATAAATTTGGTGGAATTAATAGCAAAAGCCATGGGTTCATCTTTTAAAAGTTATATAAAAGGTTATTTACCTGGTGTATTAAATGCATTAGGTGATCCAAAGGTACTATTTTTTTTTTATTATAATCTGTTTATAGAATGTAATTATAATAACTTTAATTGATATAAAAATTGTTTTAGACATTTAAATGTCAAAGTGCTCGTCAATGTATGAATACTTGGGCAGACGTATGTGGTTATCGTGAATTTTTCGGAGGTGATATTCTCTTGGATGCTTTAAAAAACAATTCAGTTACATTACGATCAGAGTTATGGACTTGGCTGTCAGAAAAATTGCCATTAAGTACGATTTTAAATGTTATTGAAAGTGTATAATTAATAAAGTTATAAATTATGCATTTTTATAGTTCCTTCTAAGACAATTCCAGCTGATGAGTTAAAATGTTTATTACAAGTTCTTTACATTAGTCTTGAAGATAGAAATGCTAGTGTTCGTAGTGCTTCTGAAAAGGCTGTGCTTGGGTTTATGATGCATTTAGGTTATGCTTCTATGTATGGTGCTTGTGAAAAATTGAAGGTATAGTTAAAAAGTGTTATCTTAAAATTACAATTTTAAAATAATATACTTTTTTAGCCAATGTCAGTCAAATTCTGTAGAGAAAAATTAGATAAAGAAAGACCAAACTTACCTGTTGTACCAATTGAAAAACCTAAAACTGTAAAATCTGGTATTCCCGCAGGCTCTTCAGTTAAATCTGGAGGTTCAAAGATACCTCCTCCTAAAGCAGCTGCTAAAACAAACAAGGCAAGTTTATAATATTAATTATAACTAATATACTGTAATTATAATTTACTGCATAGTTTGAATGTTAACATATGAAACATTTGTTTGTTTAGGAAAATGTATTACCCCGTGCAAGTACTGCTACTAATAAAAAGAAAGAAGAGTTTGATAATGGACCATTGTTTCAACGAAATAACTTAAAGCATCAACGTGATATTGACGAACATAAACTGAAGGTATTTTATTTTACAGAAAATATTTTTAATATCTGGCAAGTTAGTGGCAGTTAAAATTTTAGTTTTAATTTTAAATATTTATTAATCATACTAAGTTTTCTAAATTAACTGAAATAAATTGGTATATCAATATTGAATAAATATAATAAAAAGTACAAATTTTTATTTTCATGATGAAATCAAATAAAAATTGTTATACAAGAAATATTTTTCTTCTTTTACATCAATTTAAAAAAAAAAAAATATGTATTTACAATTTATTGTATATTGAGTATTTAAGTATATTTTACATACATTGATATTATTTAAGTTTGATTTATACGATTTAGAAGAATAAATCAATTATAAATACAATAAGTCTTATTGATGATAATCTATTAAAAATATAATTTAGTCGTTAAAATGGAATTTTTCTACTCCTCGTGAAGAATTTGTTGAACAACTTCGAGAACAAATGTTAACTGCTGGTATTAATAAGATGTTAATTACAAACATGTTCCATCCAGATTTCAGATACCATCTTAAAGCTATTGAACATTTGTCTGTGGTAATTTAATAATTTTTAACCATTTTAAATTTTGATCTTTTACCCATTAGTATATTATAATATTTGTTTTTGGTTTATTGTTTTTATTTAGGATTTGAGTACAGCAGATGATAATAATTTAGCATTAATTAGTAATCTCGACTTAATTCTTAAATGGATGACTTTAAGATTTTTTGACACTAATCCATCAGTACTCTTAAAAGGTCTTGAATATTTACAACATATATTTGATATTCTTATGGCTCAAAAGTATACTCTTCATGATACTGAAGCATCGAGTTTCGTCCCATATTTAGTAACAAAAGTGAGTAAACAAACATTTATAATTAATAATTATTAAGTATTTATTTTATTTGCTTTGTAGTTGGGTGATCCAAAAGATTCAGTGAGAAATAATGTCCGAGCTATATTAAAACAAATAGCATTTATATTCCCAACCTCAAAAATGTTTCAGTATATTATGGATGGAGTAAAATCAAAGAACTCAAGGCAGCGCTCAGGTTAATATTTATTTAATTGTTTAACCCAAATAGTTCACTATTAAAAAATATTATTTAATCCCAACTAAATAAAACTAAATCAATTCATCCAATCATATGAAATCACAGCTTTAAAATTTGATGTCACTTATTATCCATTATTATTTTTAAATTGTTTAAATTCAGTTAAATAAAAAAGTTATAAATTTACACTATTATTCAAAATAGAACTATGTATATTATATGCTATATAATAAATAATACATAATACTATCTATCTGATTCGTCAATGCATTTGATATTACTGTTAGATCAATTTTTGTTATTGTCCTGCCTATGTCTATTTAGAAAAAAAAAATAGATGGAAAGTGGGTTATTCACTTTCGGAAAACTAAAAAAATTCTACTTTTTCATTTCAACAAAATTATAAATAAAAATAATTTTTAAATCAATTTTTGCTTTTGAAGTAGAAGTTTTTTCTGATCAGCTTTTTCTTGTACTTCTCATTTTTCACATGTTTCAGCTTATCTGGAAGTAGAGACATGCAGAAAATATGTTTTCAACTCAAGCTTCTTGCTCTTTAGGTGCTTCAGCGGATTTACTGACTGACAATTGTCTTATTTATCCTTCTGAAATTTGATTTTTTTGTGGTATTTCAAATAATTTCCAGTGCTAATGTTGTTAATTTTACTGGAGTGTTGTTAGTGTAATGATAGCAAAAATACATAGATTCCAAAAAAAGGTCGATAATGTTATATGATTTTTCACTCATTACTGTAAATACCCTCACATCTCAGGACTAAGGAAACTCTAAAATTGACCAAAATAAATACATTTTTGTATTAAAACTACCTAAAAACTTCATTTTAGGTGGTGGATTTCAACTGCTTTAAACCTTCATCGGACTACACACTTTTTTGCATAAAACCACATAAAAATCACTTCAGAATTTTTTTAATCTATTAATCTTATACAGACAGACATCAATTTATATATATAATATAAGTTACATAAACTGTATACTTAATCATTTATTTTTTAAATTTATTATTATTTTCTTACAGAATGTTTGGACCATTTGGCAACTATGATTGAAGATTATGGTACATCAATTTGCCAACCTAGTGTTCCTATTGCGTGTAAGGAACTTGCAAAAAGTATTGGTGATAGAGATAACTCAGTTCGTACAGCTGCATTAAACTGTTTTGTTGCTGCATTCTTCTTACACGGAGAGGCTCTTTACAAATTTGTTGGCAATGTAAGAAATATTTATCAAGAACAATCTAAACAACAATGATTATCATGAAAAGTATCAATTATTGGTTCAATGTGACTCATCAACCATATATAAGCTATTAAATTTGATTTTTAATGCTTCTATATATATTTATAATATTTTTTCAATATTTTTAATTTTCTGTTATTGATAACTAATAATTTATTAATAAATAATTTCAGTCAGACCTTGTCAGTCTGGAAATTAAATTCAAGTATCACTTTTCAATTACTGTGATTTAAATGACATATTTATGATAATTCTTAACTGAGTCTACACATTTAGGTGTCTAATTATAATTGCTTATTGATTATTAAAAATATCTATTATATAGTGAATATAAAATTTGGTCTACTAGCTTTATTTTTTTATAGTTATCAAATCATATATAATATTTGATAATTAGGGATTTGTAATGTTTTAGAATAACTAATTATTACTTTCCAAACAGATATCAGAAAAAGATATGGGCCTTTTAAGAGAACGTTTGAAAAGAGCATCAAAGAATCGAGCAGTACCAGTTGCTACTGTTCAGCCAACTATAAAAATGGTTGCACCGCCTGTGCAACAAGTACCAATTACTGATGACGTTGTTAATGATCAATATAACTCTGATGAAGAAGAACATAATGCTACATTTAATATTTCACATGAATCTCAGCAAGAGCCTAGTCCTCAAAGATACTCAAATGATTCACCTTCTAGACCTACAAGTACTTTATCATATAGATCAGGGAATATTCCTACTACTAATGAACTTCCATCATCATTACGAATGGGATTCAGGTGAGAATATTTTTCAATTAATTTTTTTTTAGTGCATGATCTTCATTTGGTGTAATTTTCATAAGTAAAATATATTTAACATTATAAATACTTGAATTATTTTTTATTTGTGGTATTAACACAGGCTTTTAATGGACATTTCGGCTTGCTATTTTGAAAAATTATTACATATATATAAATTTATTACACTATCACATATATTATTTCAACGGTACATTTAAATTTTGTACAAATAATTGTTGCAATTAACTTTGTTTATAGATTTACTCTATTTATCTTTTGGTGACATTTATTATGTACATTATATACATTTACATTTTTTTTTTCCTTGCATAGCCATGCATTACAGCATTAGTATTAACCAAATTTATTATATACAGAATTCAATCTATTACTATAGATATTTTAGATAGATTGTTTTTTTTATTTTATCATTTACTAATTTTAATTACTCAAGTTGGTACTATTTGTAAAGAAGTAAAGAAAAAAAAAAAAAAGATTGAAAGAATACATTGATTCATATAAATACAATGGATTTTACATTACTTTAAAAATGTACCTCTAGTTGTAAAAATTAAATAAAAAAAAACAATTTTCATATAATTTATCCGTGATGAATATTAAACTTGTTGTTTTTTCCGCTTGTGATCAAGGAAAACTGGATTTCAGTTGAAAAAAATTGAAGAGAACTTCCATTTACAAATTGAAATCTAAAAGTTTGGCTAGATATCTTGTTAAATCTCTATGTGTTATGAATACTAACCATTCCACTTTGATTGTATTCGCGATAGAAAGCAAAGTGGCTGGCATCTTTTGGTGGTGACATTAAACATTGTATTGGGGACAGCATGAAAACTGAACTATTGATAAAAATATGAAATAAAAATTATTGAGAATTGGTTTACTCGATTTGTCATAATTTATTAACCCACATATTATGTGTTTTAATTTTGATTACACTTTCACATTTGGTAGCTGCCAACCCTTAATTATGGGTCATGCTTATTGTGCCACAACACCAAAAACTCGTAAAAAAAACATAAATATTGTCATGTTACACAATGTAAAACATTATTCTCTTTGTAAACATATGCAAAATAATTATTTGATTTTCATTCAACAGCCAATACTAAGAGAATATGACTACTTTTCACACTTCTTAAAAATGCTATCCTAAAAAAGAAATGCGAGCATGGTTTAAAAATGAATATTATTAATTTTACAAGTTATTATTATAATTTAAAAATAATGCTCAAATTATATAGAATATCTACCTACTGTTAAATAACTTTAATATAGTTATTATATAATGGATGTAATTTTAACAATTCCATCGACTTCATAGGAACATAGAAACAGGGTTTTTAATAAAATCATTAGTTTTGATCCTTTGTTGCACACATTGTTTTTGAAAATTTTTTCCTTGGAAAATATTAAAAGTTAATATTACATATAAAAAAAGAAACAAATTTATGTGGTTTCACTATATTATCACAATGCTTCAAAGGGTTTAGACATATAGCAACGATTCTTAATATTTTATTATTATTTTCCACACATCCAAATTCTACAATATGATTATATTTCATTAATTGCAAACCCTCAATCAATGGTCGCTTAAAGTTACCAATAACACTTAAAATGTTAGTTAGCTCAACAACCGAAGTAAATATATTTTTTTTTCCTACTTGATTATGTAGGTATTATGAAATTGTATAAAATAAATTAAATTATTCATAAAAAACCAACTAAATAAATTATTGACATTGTGAAATTGTCAATTATCACCATAGACAGTCAGAAAAATTACTACAGCTCCTCTATATTTGCTTTCTATTAAATGTTGAATGTTAATTTAGGACTTCAATAAAATATTTGTATTTTTTTGGCGTTTTTCATTATGCTTCTTTTAAAATATATTATAATTAGTTTATTAATTAATATTGGATTGGTCTTGGACTGGATTACACTATAAAGTATGTACAGTCTGGTAAGTCAAATAAAATATTTCAAATTTCTTAGTAGATCAAACGTTCTACTTATAGCTTAATATTTGTATTTTAATACTAGACGACCAACTAGTGAAGTCTATGATGAACCTCAAACAACACGTTATGCCCTGGACGAAAAATTTATTCAGGAGTTGGAAGCTGAAGAAATTACAAAACCAGAGTTAAAACTAAAGACATATAACTGGAATGCAGATCATGATGAAATAACTTTCAGAAAAAGAATTCAAGATAAATCTCAGTATGTAATTGTTTAGAACTGTATATATTATCTATCCAATTTCAATATATTAATTTAAGTATTTTACTTTTAGGACTTCACCAGATAAAACAATATTATCATCTAAGCCATGTATAAATGTGAGTCCATACAGTACTGCAACTATTACAAAAAGTCCTAAAACTCCACCAGCCCCTGTGGATCCTATTCAGCAATTAATAAATCAAGTACCATCTCAAAATATAGAAACTTCAAAGAACGCATTAACAAGCCTTGATCAAATGCTTTTAAGACCTGATGTATGTACACTTTGAAATATTGTTTTCATATTTACTATTAATGTATTCATTACAATTTTTTCAGATGAGATCAAAGTTTTTAGAAGGCGGAAAGGTGTTATCATTATTTTATGCCATCATTAAACAATTTGATATTCTATCTGAATCTCATGATATTGATGTCACTGTCGGTTATAAAAATATGTTCAATTTATGTTTGAATGTAAGTATTACTTGATTTGAGTTTTGTTTATTATTTATCATATTTTGTGAATTTTAATTACACTTGGCTTAATTTTGATATATATATATATATATGTTCCTACTTTTTACATTGAATAAAACCAATTCAGCCTAATAATGCATTATTAAATATATTTATTATCTATATATGTATGTTTGTATTTTATTTTTTTAAGTTGTATAAATATCAAGAATTCACCTTAATATTGAATGAACAAATTGTGCGCGATTTACTTTCAAAATTGTTATACCTTCTAAGTATGAAGGGACCGGAAAATAGTGCAGACACTCAACTTTTTGGACGATGTGTTAATAGTCTTATTATGAATGTATTGGAACATTCTGCTCACACTCCAGTTACATGGTAGCCTTTTACAGAAAAAATGTGCAAAATAATAAAAAATTAACTAATATATTAAATATATTTATAGTGCTCTTTTGGGCATGCTATATGACACAGTTAAATATCCTCAAAATTCTTCTACTCATTACAAAGAATTGGTTATGAAATGTATATGGAAAATAGTAAAAGATTTTCAAGAGTGGGGAGAAGAATTATGCTATGATAGAGTTCTTGCTCATATTCATAGATTCCTAAAAGTAATTAAAACTTACATTTTTCTTTTTTAAATTTACTTTGTTATTTGCTGTATTATTTTTTGTACTATATATTTGTTAGGAGTTTGATTCTAAGCACTGGAAGAAACAACCATCTGATACTCCATTAAGAACATGTAAAACTGTTCTTCATACTATGGTAAAAACACGTAGTGATAAAGTATTGGAAAGTTTAGCCAGTCCAGAATTTCCTAAAGAATCAGAAATGGTTATTTATATACACAAGCTTTTGCGGGTAAAAATTTAAAACAAATTGAACTTAATCATACATGTTATTACATTACAAATTATGTTTAGCATTTGAACAGTGAAAGTAGACCCGAAAGTAGTAAACGTAAACATCGAACACCATATGACGAATTATCTGATATATTCCAATTAATAGGCCAACACGAAAACACTGACGAAGTGAGTTATTGTTTATAATTCATAAAATATGTGTAATATTTTGTTTGTCGATAAAACAATTTATTTTAGTAAATAAATTTATTTAAGTCATTAAAAAATACCATTTAATAGTTAAATTATTATGTACATAACTAATTTAGTCTTAAGCTTGGGCAATACGTGGTATATTTAGCTATATTTAAAATATTTAGTTTTAGTTAGTGACTATATTAAATAATAAATTCAATCCACCACATTTTTGTTTGTTTCTAAATTGCAGCAGGATTAATTTTTTGGTTTTCAAACACCAATTAAATGTATATTCTTTTAAATATGTTAATTATTTGTTGTCTTTTAGAATTATTATTTATTTGACTGGTTATATATTTTATTATTTAAAAAAAACATTTATTTTTGTTTGGTAAACCTAACCTTGGTTAGTGGATAACAAGTTATATTACCAAATGGAAAACCAGTTAGATAAAATATCTTTAAAACTCATATCATAAATATATCTAAAACTTTATTTTATATAGTAAATGTATATACATTATGAGAATAACTAAAAAATAACTGATCTTAATACAATTGAAAATATTTGAGATGAACACAATTTTTTTACTTTGTTTATAAATAGGAGGTTCTAAGATCTGCAGAAAAAATTGAGGTATTAATGATTTTGAGTTTAACAAGTTAATGTGAATTATATTTTAAAATATTTCAAGAAATAAATTCTATATCTGCATTACTTAGATCTCTTATAATAATAAATATATACTTGTGAATACTTCAATATTTTATATTTAGAAAGTACGTAATTATTAAATGTGTCTTTCTGTTTTATATAAGGGCATACAACAACTACATAGATTTAAAATAAAGCATCCTAATATTGATATTGAACCTCACATTTCCAAAACTACAAAATATTTTCAAGATTACATCCATCGCAAACTATCTGCAATTGAAGATAATTTAAAAAGCTGTTTAGTTGAACCAAATGGTAATTTCTTATTTTGTTAAATTTGAATAATGGTATTAATATATTATAATTAAATTTAGGTAATAACGACAGTGTAAAACCAATTACATCCACGCCATTGCGAAAACTTGATTCTGCTGTTCCGAGTGAAGCTGATGGTTTCATGAAACGGTTGCAAATATTAAAAATGAAAGCATCAAGAGAAGAAGCATATGGTTTACCAAATGGAGAATGTAATGGAAACAATAGACTGGATGAAGATTCACAAGACGAAGATCTGCCGATGCTCAACACAAGTCGTTCCCCCCGCAAATAAATTGTTATTCCATTTATAGTATTATTTTCAAACAAATGCTCTGATATAGATCAATCAGTATGCCAAAATCCTTTCACTATTCTTCTATCAAGACTGAAAACCCAAAAAAAGTAACGCTATTTATTTATTATTTTTTGTTTTATATTCGCTTCATTATAATAATAAAATATTGACATTTTTTGTGTGTATGAGTATTGTGAATTAAGAAAGCTTGTTGTGTAAACAAATACAATATATTTATGTATAATTTATTTTTAATATTTTATTTTAGTGACTTTAACATAATACATTTATTTTTAATATATAGGTACTTAACAGATAACACAAAATTTACACTTTAGTATTTTAGACTTGTCAAGTATTAATATTAACATTTTGTGATTATTTTTAATTTCTATTAAATTCAATGTATATGATCAAAACTTGGTTTTGTTTATTATGTTTTCTACTTGAACAACAAAATTTGAAAACTCAGGGTTTTTTATTAAACTGATTATTGTGTTTTCCAAATTAATTTTTTCAGATAATAATTTTGGAATATCTGTCACTTCTAAACCATTATTTTTCAATGTATCGACACATTTAACTGCTGAAGGTTTATCATAAAAGCTGAGAACCCACTTACCATGGTAATATTTATCAAATGACATAATTCCTAAATAAAGAGTAGAATACAAAATGTATGTTTTGGGCGTGAGGTAAATTATTTCACTGAGTATTCCATTTGTGAATATAGTTAATGAGTGATTCTGATACAATACACTGGTTTTTATATTTGATTTTATAATAGTCGGTTGAGTAGAATTTTCACAACTTGAACTTAAGTTTGAATAGCTCTTAATGTTCCATGACTCTGTATATTCCCAATATTGCATTTGTTCAGACTGAAGAAAAATAAATTTATTGCAACAGAATAAATATAAATCCATGTATATAATATATATTTTACAGGACAAATAATAAAATTAGTTCTTACCATTTTTAATGAAGGTATAAAATTGTTATTTTTAAAATAAGTAATTTTTGATTGTACAAATATAATAAGGTACTAAAAACTAAATGAAAAATTTCAATAAAATGTAATTTATATGTTTTCATGGAACAAAGAATCAAAATTATTATATAACCATTCATTTTTGTATAATTTATTTTTAGCAAAAAAATATTATTTTTGGTTATGCACACATATTAATAGTTTTTATTCATTAGTTATTATAATTAATGATTAGTCTTCAATCTTCATCAACAAGTGGTGTACACTGGAACAAAAATTAAAAATATATCAAATTAAGATTTTATTTTATTTTGACCTTATTAGTTTGATGCATAGACATATAACATACTATATAATATATATTATTATATATTATATATTATATGATTTGATAACTACAAATAGAATAGGTAATAAATAATAATTTAATTTTACCATTATGAGTTAACTATAAACAACCTCTAAAATGTTATATAATTTATTCCATTTTTATTTATCAAATTATTGAATCTATATAAATAACAATTAAATCTAGTTGATAATTTAATAATTTATTGTTAAAATTTCTTACAAAGTATTCTAAATAACAAGTATGGGTGTCAACTTGTACCATAAATTGACAACACAATAGACCTTCCTCGTTTGTACGTATCAATGTTTTTTGTGATATATTCATACATTTTAAAAATGGTTTTAATTGTTTATATTTATATTTAACAGTTATTGTTGAATTGCAAACAAACTGCTCTATTATTTCACTTTTAGATGGTATCTCAACCTAAAAAAATTAGTTTTTACTTCAAAATAAACAACTATAAATTAAGCAAGGGATACAAAACCTTAAAAAAAACTTACACTACATTTTCCTGCAATTCCAGATGTTAAAATTTTAAAAAATTCCGGCTCTTGAGAAAATGTAAATTCAACATAATCAGATGTATTATCAATATCACTTAGTATATCTTTAAAATCCAAGGATTTTAAAATTATTTTACTGGTAGTTGATTCTGCAGGTATACTGAAGTCTAATATATCAAACACTTCCATTGTTTTTAATGAGCAGTCAGTTATGATACCTCCTTCTTCTAATCTACAATAATTTATAAATAAAAAATAACTAATAAATTATTAATTTTAAATTAATTACAATAATTTCACAGGTGCACCATATTCTTTATATGTCAATTTTAGAACAGTTGTAGAACTAGGATTGGTTGAACATCCATCAAATATTGTAAGGCATTCAATCAAATTGTTGATATCAACACGGAATGCAACAGTATCATCAGTGAGTTGATATTCCTATAAAAAATTTTGTACTATATTACTAGACAATTAGTATTATACTGCTCAATTTATACTTGAAATATTTCACTGCCAATAAATGTGTTTGCCTGTACACATTTAGAGTCTTCTACAACTATTTTTAAACCGTGTTCAGTTGCAAAACACACGCCAACCTATAATGAAAAAATTATTATAGGAGATACTGGAGTCTAAGATGTCTTGGAAATAAATAGAAAGTAGTAATACAAATTTCTTTCATAAAATTATAATTATTGTTTTATTTTATATTTTGGGGGTATGATTAATATGTTAGCATGAACATACAGAGAACTCACGTCTTTAAAATTGACTGCCTTCAACAATGATGAGATGTGTTTGACATTGTCAGCTTTAGCGACTAAAAGATATTTTTCTTCAAGTGAATCATTTTTTTCAGATTCCATATTAGTTAATAATTTATAACATGGATCATAAATTGGAATTTTTTTTATTAAAATATTTTCATATTAATCACCTTAAACAACGAAATATGAAAATAATAACATTCCGAATGGTTCAGTAAGTTCAACGCATACTTATACAACTATAATTTACAACATATAAGATGTCTATTACAGTTCAACGTCAAATTTCAAATTTGACTACATTATAACTTTGATAAGTTATTTCAATTCGTTCTTATCAGCCTAAAGCCTTATACCTTAATTCACATGTTATCATCTATCAATTATCGAAGTTATCAATATGGATTTTTCTGTGTTATCAGTTTTTTCAGTGTTACCAAATTTATTTTGTCTACGTGCTAATAGATAAATGTGGAAAGGTAATCAAAATGTTAGGTTAATGTACGAAGTATTTTGTAAACAATTCTTTTCGTTCTTTGCATTAGCTCAATTTTCTTGTTCTCTCTTCTCGGGCTTGGGTAAGTTCATTTTTATCTAACTTAATCCATTTATATGTACAGTATTATAACTTAATAATTATAAGAAATTGTTTAAGGTACTCCATTAAATAATTTAATAACTATACGTATACATTTTGATGTCTGTTGAAATTTATTCTTTATGATACAATATTAGTTAAAAGCGGTCTTATGCTTGTTTGTTTCAGTTTTTACTTGTATTGTATTATCTACTTTGGTTATTATATTATTTGCTATTAGTGTCGGATTGAGAAATAAATCTAGCTTAACGTTGCTGGAATCGTTGCTGATGAGTTTGGTAACTCGGCTCAATCCTGCACTGTTCGCCAAATCTATAATACCATAACATTTTATTTTTATTAATATACATAGGTAATTGATAATTTGTTTTTTTTTAGTCTTGCAGACGAAACTATAAAATGGCCAAATTAACTAGGGAACGTAAACGCAAATCTGCGATAAATGAAGTGGTTACTCGTGTGTACACCATTAACATGCACAAAAGGCTTTTGAATATTGGTTTCAAAAAGCGAGCCCCTCGTGCAATCAAGGAAATCCGCAAATTCGCCACCCAACAAATGGGCACACAAGATGTGCGCATTGATACTAGGCTGAACAAATTTGTTTGGTCAAAGGGAATAAGGTGCGTACAACATTTTTTAAAAATTCAAAACATAAGTACCAGCTATGGTACTCAACAATTTTCTTTTTTTTTTTTAATTAAAATCACATTGAACCTACATCAAAAATTATATTTTGGTTGATTGAGGGATACTATTATTATTCTTTACTTATAGTAGTGAATTCAAATTTGTTTTACTTGTCACTTAATATGATAATGTATCATAACATAAATTTTATTTGATTGCATGCATTTAATTCTAATTAATAAGAGAAAAAAAAGTTTGGATTTATCATACTAAAGAGTATAGACATTTTTGAGTTGAACCTATAATTATTGTATGAAACATTTTTTTTTTTTTTAATAATATATTTTATTCCATCTGTGAATGCACGAGTTAAGAATCCATTTTTTTTTTTTTTTATTTATTTGGTTAAATAGGAACTTGCTTTGAAATATTTTGGTTTTAATTTCAATTTGTAAACTGTATGAAGTATATATTGGCAAATAATTCCAAGTTGTACCAAGTAAGGGATGAACATGCATTGATTCCTTATTGGTGGCGTTATCAAATAGGTTCTGAATACTTACTAGCTCAAATTAATATTGAATAATCTTTCATTTCGATTGCCAAATATAACTAAAATATATTTTACATCTACCCAAGTATAAAATTACAACAGACATTTGCAAAGACCAATACAACTTTATAATTTGATGATATACCAAATTATACAAAACATTTTTAAATTTTGCACAAAATTAGTGTTTTTGAATTTGTCTACTAATATTACATTCTATATTATTTTTTTATTATATTTCATTTGCATCCGCAAATATTCTTAAATATTAAAAAACTAATGTAATATAATATTTAAAATACATTTTCTGATTTTCTTAGAAATTCTAAAAATTAAAATTGAGGTCTACATTAAATTTATAATTGTTTTCAAAAAGTAGGTAGGTCTAGTTAATATTTTCTTTGTAATTTGATGGCTTATTATATGTGCGTATAAAATAATAAAAGATAAAAAATAAATATTTTAAAACTTTTGTTGGTTGTTTAAATAAGTGTTTTTTTTTTTTGTATGTAGATGTTGAGTACTCTTTATTATGTTATTTCTATGTAGACGTTTTACATGGCTGAACATTCTAAAAGTTAATAGATACATATTTAAGATATACATTTATAAAGATAACAACTTTTTAATTTTATAAAATAATACAATAGCAAATTAAATTAATAGTTTATTGATAATTTTTAATTTTTTTGACCATAGTATTTGTATGTTCAATTTTAGGAGTGTACCATTCCGTATTCGTGTACAATTAGCCAGAAGACGAAATGACGATGAAGATTCCCCACACAAGTTATATACTTTGGTAACCTGGGTTAATGTACCTACATTTAAAAAGTTAGGTACAGAAAATGTTGACGGAACCGAAGAATAAACTTGTAAACACTTTGTCTTTGATAATAAATAAGTATAAAAATGATAAATTGTTAATAATACATGGTATTTTTTATTTTATCTATATTCCACAAATTATCAGATATTTTATAATACTTGACTTAACTATCAGAATTTTTAAACTCTATAATAATTATAAGTTTTTAATGAACGATTAATTTCAAAGCTTTAATTATATATATATATATATATATATATATTATTAAAGTTGCATAACTTTGATGATTTAACAAAGGAATGAAAAACAACTACATTTTAAATATTTTTTAATTTATTGTATTTTCCCCGTACTACATGTGCAGTTGTGTGTTTGCAATATTGTATTTACATTATATTTGCTTTAAATTAAAAAGTATTACATACCAAGAGAAAGAGAGACTAATGTTAAGAGTAAGATCAACTGATAATAAACAATTTCAAACATTAAATAAAAATCTTATTGGCATACATACAATTTTGCTGTGTCTCAACACATTGACTGCATACAAGTTAATGTTATTTTGTGGTATTTATGAAATAAAAATAAAATGATGTTATTGTTAACAAATAGTAAAACACTAGAACACTAAGTTTGTCTTTCAGGACATTTTTAAATGAGGAACAATTTGAAAAAAGACACATTGATGTTAGATTATGTTATTATGTATAACTAACATTGGTGCATTTTGCTCTTGGTAAAGTGTCCTTAACAATTTATTTGGACGGCCAAATATTATTGAGGGAAAAAAAACTCAAAAGAAAGCCACATAGTTAATAAATAATTATTTTAAAAAATATTGAGTCTAGGTGTATTGACATTTTATTTTCTTTATGATTTTATTAGCTTCAATTACAAAGGTAAAATATGAGGATCTTATGTTATTTACATTGTTTCTAACACTTCTAAATTAGTTAATAGGTATGTTAGTTTTAAAACATTTATTATTTTGTTAATTGTTTATGTTTTATGGTCTTTGGACCATAACTTTGTTTTCTGCCAGAAATCTTGGCTTGAAAAACTATTAGAGCTTTTTTGCATTTTGGTCAGTGAAGAAAAACAGGAATGTAAACAGAAACAAATCGTCATTGTCTTTTTTTTTTGTTCTTGTTAAACTCATAAAAACTCAATAATTTTCACAGAATATATTCTGAAAAATGTATTCAACTTTTATAGACTGGTCAAATTTTTAAAACATGATTTTTGACCCTTTTTTAGGATACAATTGTTTGACTGATCAAAACACAAAGCCTAAAAATTTAACACATAGTTCATTATAAGTTATATTTTGGGATAAAAAAAAAGTTGAGCTTAATGTAGCAGTTTATTTTATAATCAATTTAAGATTTTTATAATAATAATAACAGTGTTTATGTTTTTGTATAAACATTAATATTTATTATTATATTATAAATTTATTGGTAACAATAAATTAAGTATGTAGTTTGCTATATCAGTACTTTACACAACTATGTAAGGATGCATATGACCGAGACAATAGTGCTTGAATGAAAACCAATACAGTGCCATTTTGTCAGAATGTATTTAATCGCTTCCACTATTAATTATAGGATGGTTCATTTGTATATTAAAAAATCAATGGTATATGTTATATTAATGTATGTGTATCATACACGGGGTAACTTGATTATTTTACATTTTTACATGTAACTACAATATGAAAGTGTCAAATAGTCCTTTTACACTTTGTATACTTAATAGAAATCAAATATCCAATATGTATGTATAGGTAAATAGGTTCCTTCCTAATAAAATTTTACTTCAGTGTTAATTTTTTGTTCAATTAAAATAATATTTAAGGGTAAAATATTTTACGTTTTATTTGTTTTTTTTAAGTATTACATTTTTGGTCCTGGGATTTTTGCCTTTTACAATATTTTTGTACAGGAATAATTATTATTGTCATAAATTTATTATAGTATAGTAACTTCATATTTAATTGTTTACTATACTGTTTTTTATTGTATATTATAATCATACATAATATTTAATTTTAAAAATATTACCTTAATCATTAAACATATGTAACTTCTATTTTACATATCTTATTATTTATGTCCATCCACACTTACGTAATTAACCTTAATAAATTGCTGTGCTCTCACTTTATACGTTTGCTCTTCAAATGATGCACACTCAAAACACTGTCCATTTAGCTTTTAAGTTACAAATTTGAATTTGTTGGTTAATCTAATAATATCTGTGTATTTTTGGTATATTATACTGAGGTTCTATAAAAAATTAAATATTAAACAATAACAAATGATGTACCTACCTACTTATTATAAATTTGCAACCACTTAACGCCACAAACCTTAATCCCCTCCACATATTTCTTGGTATGTAGTGCAGTTCACCTCTTGTGTGTCAAAGCCACCTCTGGTACTTATTCATATAAATTTATAGACTGATGACACAAAGGGGACTGCAAAATTCGAAAAAGAATTTTAATGTTTTACTGTTTGTGATGTAATATCTATTGTAAATCATTAACTCAATTTTAATTTGAAGATTAATTAAAAATAAATAGTATACACTCCATAAATAAAATATTTTACACAAGTTGTTTAATTAATTAATATATCCTATTATTCCCTATTTAAATTTTTACTCATGAATTTTGGGTTTTTATTCAGTATCATTTGAATGATTAATTATTGGTTTGTTTAGTTGTTTCTATTTCAAATTCTACACTTTCAACAATTCGAAAACAAAATATAGTTTTCTCAGATAACTTTCAAGTTGTATGTTTCGCGAGTGGAGATCGAAACTTATTTTCTGCTTATATCAACCTTTTGTAAATCGAATTATAGGAATAATATTACTTTTCCCAAAAAATTATGTGTAAGTACTGCGTATATATTAACAGATTGTTATTTAAAAACATTTTAAGTTTTGATATTGAACGGATTAGTAAGATACCTTTTCTTTGTGTGGGCATACTTCCCGTATATTGCTGTTTACTAAACTTTTATCTTTATAGATTTATATGCTTTTAAATGAATAATAAACAAAACTTATAGACTTTTCTAAATTTGTTATGTATCATCCTTATATTTAGGTATTTACCTATTAGAAGTTTTTTGAAAAATGTTCGATTTCAGAATTTCGACCTTGGGCCCGGTTTGCTAATAAAACAAAATAACTGGAAAAAGATAACAAGACAGGCAATGAAAAGAATGGTACAAAAAAAAAAAACGTCTAAAGAAAATCAATGCATATTGCTGGATATTATAGCGAGGTGGAAGAGCGTAATAAAAACGGCGATGAACCTAAATGGACATTTTAAACCTAGAAAGAAAAAATTTCAATATTTTATGTGAGTACCTATATCTTGCCAAAATTCATAATTTATTTTATTAGTATTAAGTTAAAATATTTCAGCTCTAACGGTTTTGAATATGAAACATTGTATCGATAAACAGGGCTATGGTATAAATTAAATAAGACAACTTTATCTAGTGTCATAAAATATTGATTTATAAAAAAGTTACGGAATTTTTTAGCTGCAAAATTGCATTCAAGTAAATGGAAAATACATATGACGTGCCTATTCGAAATAAAGTTGTCTTTAATTTTCATTCTGAGTAAAAATTTCAAAATCAAATTTTACTTTTTTGAACAAATTATGTGATTAGGTACATATCGTTAAATACGTGTTATAAAAACCCGAGATTTTTAATACATTTATACGTGAATTAATTTGAATATTTTTGAGTCTGTAATTTTTCATTTTTCGACATTTCTGTTAAAACTGCTTTCCAATTAAATTTTGATAGAGGGACCACTTAACCATTTTCATTATACTTATTTATATTTTCTTCCGTGTACAATGGAATAGTTGTTTTATTATTAAATTATTTGTTTTTCTGTTTTCATTGAGCTTGCATTTTATCGTTTGAATATTTATCGGTAAACCATCGGACTTGACGAAATTAAGTAGTTTAGTTGAATTTAATATTATCAATTATTATTAATGTTATCAATAAGTATCAAAAATAGCAGGGATGGTTATTAAAAAAAGTTATGAATTATAGGTGGAAAGTGAGACAGAGTCTACTTGCATTTATGAAAGTTTTAAATATAAATGTAAACATTATTATACTCCCAAATTTTTTACTAACAAAAAAAAAAAATGTTTCTAAAACCGAGGTGGATCGCCTTAATATCTGGAATCATATACAATCCGACCCTGGATTAACAATGATATGAATAATCGATTAGAAAAAAAAAATACAAATCTCAAAATTGCCCGTACGTTGAATTGCCTATAATTGCGCCTGGATATATTTTACCATCTGACAATCGATAATAAAAAAATTAGAATCTCGACCGTATAAACCGTTTTATGATTTCAAATAATTTCTGTATGTGCATAACTTGTAAAGGTGAAAAACCAAATCGGCCGAGGGTATTGAAACATGAACTATAATTTTTTAAATGTATACCCGTTATTACTTTTTTGTTATTATTTTAACCTAATAAAATAAATTAAACAGTACTATACGAACAAGATACAAATATATAAGAGAAATACATTATCATAATCTGAAATAACAATATTTTTATATTAACAATATGTATTATTATTTATAAAATTAAAAAGATGGACATATTTCGCACGTGGGTGCAGCCACTGTTGTAAGTGGGAAGTTGAGAAGATAGGGGACAAACGGGAATTTAATGTATATCTGTAGGCAACGATAAACTATTGCTAATAAATAAACGATTCTGACTGGAGTTTAGTTGATAGTGTTGCTTTGTCAACATTAAACAATATAAATGTTATATTATGGTAAAATAATTACGTATGTATTAAACATATTCTTTAATAATATTTGTTTCATATTGTATCTATTTTCCCGTTTTCCAGATCTTCCTCCGTTTTCTTCCTGTGTTTCCATTATATTGAGAAAATTATAAAATGACCTCTAGAGTAACTCCCAGTCAAATTTCTTACCAGTAAAAATACTATCATTGCAAATCGAAACAAAATTGCTGGTAAAATAGTTGTTCACAGGAAAAAAATGGCCGTAGTATTTTTTAAGTAATACTTTCATTTCGTATATTTTCTCATTTTTTTCCAATATATTGAGAAAACTATTTAGAAAATCAAAAAATTGACCTCAAAATACCACCCCATTCGGATTTATTTTCAGGAAAAGTGCTACACTTGTAAATCGGAGCAATATATTTCTGATGTAAAAGTTATTTTTAGATTAAAAAAAAAAAACAACCTTATTTTAAAATCATAAGGTTCTTTGCTCCGCTCAGAATCTAAAATATGTATGGAAATGGTTTAGATTCTGAGCGAAACGAGGATTGTATTGGTTTTATATTGTAAAATTTATAATGATGTTTATTGTATATTATTTCCTTTTTTTCTTGTAAACAACTTTTCTACCAGAAATCTTGCTCTGAAGTATTAAGTAAAGTATCTTTTCTGAAAGAAAATTTGATCGGGGGGGGGTGTGCTAAAAGAAGGTAATTTTTTGATTTTCCAAGCATTTTTCACAATAATTTGGAAATAATCGTAGAAAAATACGAAAATTTACGAAATTAATTATTTTCGATTTTTATATTTTATTGTGATTTAGTTAAAAATGGAGACTGTAAATTAGGATAGATTAATTATATTTGATTTTTCTAGACGTGATAAACTTTTCGAAACATTTTAACCATTTTATTGTATAATTTTTATTCGGTATAGATACTCTGTGGATAAAATTATTAGACCCAATATTAATGTTTGAACATTTAACAGGAGGTTCATTATAAGTCGTAGTTTGTGGTTGAAACAAAATTGAGTTTCATGTAGAATTTTAATATCAAATTTTGATGAAAATCATAAATATTAAAATAATAACAAAACACGCCTTTTAAAACACGTATGACCGAACTCTGCTCAGAATCGTTAGTTATCAATGATTAATCGTTGCGTACAGACATACATTAAATTTCCCTCTATATCCTACCTTCCCAACTTCTCATCTATAACAGTGGCCCACCCATCGTGTGAAGTATATTCGTTTTTTTTTAAATATAATAATCAGTTCTCGGAAGTATTACCGTATTTACATACTAATTTTGGTGATATCTATGATAGAACATTCTGAATCGGAAAAAAAATTTACTTCATACTTTACTGATATGCGACATTTTTTATTAGTAAAACTTTGACTTTTACTGCAGTAACCGTGTTAAACTTACTGCTGAATACTAAAATTTGCAAGTTAAAAATGTCGATTTCGTTGATCCAGGAGTACAATAGTTTTTACACATTGTTACCGACAATCCTGTCGGAGAAGTTAATCGAAAAATGTCGTCAACAGAGTCGTTCTGCAGGGTAGCTGACTGAGAAATGTGGATTTTTCCGGTAAAATATGTTTCGGTAAAATTCGGTAAATTGGAAAATTCCTCATGTCCCGACACCTGAGTATATTGTTCACAGGAAAAATCATTTTATTAACTATAATATAATAACTAATAACTAATAGATATGTTCTTACTCCTTCTTTTATTTACAATAAAAAATAATTTATTACATAAACAACCTACCAATATTACACAGTACATTGCATGCGTATTTATTTATGTACC